GCTGAGTATCAAAAAGATCAGCCATGATCTTATTAAATGGTGGGGAAGGCTCGAGGGGCCGGATGGCCTACTTCTGCTCCTAGTTCTTATGTTCTTATTATGTTCTTATGTTGGTTCTGCTTGATTATATTATGTAAATCTAGATGATCTACTGTTACATCCTCTAGAATAGACTCTAATATTTTACCCCTTGACAGATGTTAAGCTAACTGGCCTATGGTTATCTGTTTTTGTCTCCCTCCCTTTTTGACTAAGGGTGTTACATTGGCAGTTTTATAATCGTCTGTGACTTTTCCAGAGTCTGAGGACTCTTGGAAGATTATTAGCCTTGCATCCATCATATCTGTAGTTATTTTATTTACTATCGTAGGGTAGGTTTCAGCCTTTATTCCCATTAGTTTCCTTTGGTACTTTTATTTCTAGTGTAGGCAATATATTGATTTTCTCTTTTTTCTTTGCTCTTGATTATTTAGTATTTTTTGAATTTCTACTGTTGATCCAAGGTATTTCTTCAACTGTTCTGCCGTTTCTGGCTCCCCACCCATATTTCCCCAGCCTCATATTTTGAGGGGTGTATAGTCACTTTGTCTTTGCTATTCCATTTTATATATTTAAAGAAGTTCTTACTGTCTGTTTTTATATTACTTGTTAGTTTGCGCACAAAGTTTATTTTGTCTGTCTTTATTTATATTTGGTCGCCTTTTGTGGCTTTTAAAAACATTCTCAATTCTCTGACTTACTGCAATTTTTTTTTGCCACAATATATGTATATTCATTCAATTTGATGCTATCCTAATGACCCTAGTTAGCATAGCTATTTATGCCCAACCTAGAATCCTTCTTCCTCAATGAGATATGTCTTTGGTGTCTGTTACAAACTATTTTCTTACTCATCTGGTGTTGTTCCTCAACTGTCTTTTCTCCTAAATCCCTTTCCCAGTCCACCCCAGCTCTGCCTTTATTCCTTTGTAATTACCATTTATTAGGTTACTTCTTACTCAGGTTTCTCACTGTCAAACTGAATGCTATTTTGTAGTCACTGTTTCCTCAGAGATACATTGCTTTGACATCATTCATTAAGCCTGCTTCATTACACTTTAGCAAATTCAAACTAGCCCAATCCCTGGTTGGATTTACAGCATATTTATCTAGGAAATTTCTTAATACACCACACAAATTCGTCCTCATAGCTACCTCTACCATTTTGATTTTCCCAATCTTAATGAAGATTAAAGACACTATGTTTAATGTATTATCTTTTTTACACATCACCGTTATCTCCTGATTTGTTTTCAGTTTTACCGTATTGCTACTGTTAGGGAGCCTATAGAATACTCCTATCTGTGTCTTCTTCAGCTATTGTTTCTTAACTTCATCCATATGGATTCTACATCTTCCAATCCAGTATCATTTTCTGCTATCATATTTACTCCATCTTGTACTAACAAAGCACCCCACCACCCTTCCTTTCAGGTTTGTCCTTTTGAATATTCACATACCTCTGAATATTTACTTCCCAGCTTTGATCGCCTTGTAGCTATGCTATAAGTTGATAGCCACTAACAACTGTTTGAGCCAATAATTCATTTATATTGTTCAGAATACTATAGGCATTTAAGTAAAGAGCCATAATTTTGCCTTTTTACCCACTTTAAAACAAATTTTTTAATGTTTGTACACTCTGTCCCTTCTTGTCCTACTATTATTACCTAAAACTCTCCCCTCCAAAGTTGCCACTGCTGTCTTTTTGTTTTGTAAGTCTACATATCTCCTCACCGGAGCTCTCTACCCATCTATTTAGTTTAAATCCCTCTTTACAATCTTAGTTACTCCATTCACCAGGCCAAAGGTCTCAGCAGGGTTCAAGTGTAAACTATTTGATGAGAACAAATCCATTCTACCCCAGAAAAGATGTAAATGCCACATGAACTGAAACCTATTTCTCCCAAACCAACCTTTGAACCATGCATTTAAACTCTTGGACTTTATTTATTTTATGTCAGTCTTTTAATTAGTTGGGACTATTAATTAGTTACTCTGATTTTCCTCTTTGTTACACTTTATTGCACTTATAAAAAATCAAAATCAATCTTATACTTAAGAAACTATTTTAAAGATGAAGGATACAATGCTTGAGATCTAAACATAAAATGAAGAGTTTAATGACTAGAAATATTCACCAGTCCTACTCACCAATCAGCTCTTTCCCTACACTCACATGATGTCACTTTTTAACTTCTCCAACTCATTTCTTCCTCGAGGCACTTTTCACAATAAAAATCACTTAAAACACCTCTTTTCTTCCTCTGCAAATAATTCCCACTTCAAACAAAATTCACAGATATGCTCACTTAGGGAAAATTTCCCTCGCATTAACTGCGCTTGTTACTGCCCCTCGCTGAAGTCATTGATATAAATTGTAAAAGGTTGAGGCTTCAGCACATTTTTCTGCTCATCACATCCTGCCAATCAGGATAAGACTCATTTTTGAAGCTCTGTTTCCTGCCAGACAACCAATCTATTCATGCTACCCTCCTCCCCCTTCCACACACATATACCTTTCTACTTTTCTACTTTTCACAATTACCTTTTATATGGCATTGTGTGAATTGCCTCTGGAAATCCAAGTACAGCATTGGATTCCTCATGCCGACAGTAGAGGTTACTGCTTTATAGAACTCCAATAAATTGGTTAAACGTGATTTCTCTTTCACCAAGCCATACTCATTACCTTGAGAACCAAGACTACTTGCATGCCAAGCAGTGTAAACAGCATGCATTAGACATGGCTAAGCAATCGCACAACCAATGGACCACATCAAAATTCTGCAGCCCTACCATATCTGGCCATGAATGATGGTAGTCAATAAACAACTAACAGGAGGAAGAAGCTCCACAAAAAACCCCTGGAGGGAGTGAAAACTTCAATGTGCACACAAGGCTGAAGCATTTGCAACAATCTCTAGCCAGTAGCTCTGAATGGATAATCCTTTTAATTACCCAGTTAAGATTTCTCTACAATGTACCCCAATTTTATGATATTGGAAGAACATGTTTTACTATGCCAGTGAAACATTTCTATTTCCTATATTAATTAATGGAAAGGGGTTAAAAGGATTTGCATCAATACATTCTTTTTATCCTGAGATAAGATAACGTTTGTATGTGCTGTCACTAACATAGGAAATGTAGTATCCAGTTTGCTCACAGAAAAGTAATAGCAATGAAGTGATAGACAAATTATTTGTTTCAGTGATGTTGGTTGAGGGACAGACATTGGCCATCAGAAACTCCCTTGCTCTTCTTCAAGTGATTCTTTACAATAACTGGCAAAGAAATCACAGTCTAAAAGTTCATCTGTAGGATGATACCTCTGACTGTGAGGCATTCCTTCAGTATTGTACTGAACTGTCAATCTCGAATTTGCGCTGTAGTCTTCACAGTGGAACCTGAAGCTACTAGCTTCAGATGTGACAGTCAAGATAGGCATATTAAATAATTCCAAAATATCTTAACGTCATGAGCACATGCTGGAACCCAAGTAGCTTGCAATTATCAGAACTCATTTCACAAAGGACCTGATCAGCTTACAGAAAAGGAAAATTTCCCCTAAAATCCTGCTTACATCAGGACAGTTGCCAGATCTAAAGGTCAGTTGTTAGTTCTGAAATGCTTTGACATAACAGTTGTAAATTTTTAATTACTTTTTTTTATTTAGTATTCAGTATGGGAGTAATGTGGTAAAGATGGCCTGTAAGGGAAGAAAAGTGGACTTAGGACCTCTGGTTTCCATGATTTTCACCATCTAGGATGTCCTCATTTTATTTATAGTTCTAGCTGCCGTAATGTCAGTCTATGATGTCAGAGTGAATATCAGCAGAAAGGTCAGTGGATGAATAAGTGAGTGGGTCTGTTGGGTAAGGTAAGTGGTTAGGCTGGCAGGTGGGTGAAGGCATAACTAGGTAGAATGTCAGATGGATGAAGTGGGAGGTGGGAACGGTAGCAGATGGTAAAGGGGACCGGGTGCAGTTCTCATTGAGTTGGAGGGTTAGTCAGGTCAGGCCAGCACTAGTCTGGTTGGGTCAGATTAAGGGTTAATCAGATGGAGGGGTTGGTAAGGGATAATTAAGGATCAGGCAGATAGTTGTGTCAAGTCCGCAAATCGAGAGGATAATTGCAAATGTTGGCGGGGACAGGGGGAGATCCAGTTCTGTAATTACCCAGCAAGTGATAGACAGAAAACTAATAGTCTAAGTAACTATTCAGGAAAATCCCAGGGAACTGTCCAAAGTCTCTGACTCTTACTGTAAAGTTCATGGAAGATCCCAGAGAAGAGGGGATTTTAAAAAAAAATTATTCATTCATTCATTTGTGTCTCATGTGTGTCACTGGCTAAGCCAATGTTTATTTCCTAGAGACCAGTTAAGAGTCAACCACATTTCTATAGGTCTGCAGTCACATACAGACCAGACCAATTAAGGATGGTAGATTTCTTTCCCTAAAGGACATGAGTTAATCAGATGGAGATTTACAACAATTGCCAGTGGTTGAGCGATCACCATCAGGTTAGCTACTTATTCCAGTTTTCTTTTCTTATGTGCTCCAGACATGAGCCTGAGTTTCTGCATTACTAGTCCAGTGACATTAGCAATATGCCAGCATGTCCCCTTGCTCGTTGGAAATTTGAAAATATATTGGGACTTCTGTTTTTGCTTCAGTTGTGTTGGTCTCATACACTAATCCACCCAAAATCCTTTTTTTGAATGATGAATGTGGTTAAAAATGTGACCAGAAAATCTATTTGTTTCAGATATTGTTTGAGGGATTCACATAGGAAACCAGGAATAACTTTGCAAATAAAAGCAAAATACTGCAGATGTTGGGAACAGACCCTGATAATGCTGGAGAACCTCAGCAGGTTCTGACAGCATCTGTGGAGATAGAAACAAAGTTAACATTTCGAGTCCAGGCTGATTCTCCAGAATATCTTTTTCTTTCAGCTCACAGTGTTTATACACAAGGACTGAGAATTAAGACATGGGGAACACCTTTAAGTCTGCAGCTGCTGAGAAGGAATCAGATATTGTGGAATCTCTTACAGGTATGATAGACCTCAATGACATAGCTGAATGATGATCACAGACGAAGCAAATCAATGAATACATACTTGGATACATCTTATATCGTGCTGTTTTGTTTTACAATGCTTCTGTGAAGAACCGTGGGACTTTTTGTTATGTTAACGTCTCCATAAACATATCGGTTGTTATTTTTGGAGGCTGAGGTATTTTCGTAATTCAATAGATATTCATTCGGGACAAAATCCCACGCCACACTTTGTCATTAGCAACTTGCAAGAGTGCTTCACCAGAGAGTGATATTAAAAAAATGCCCGCATTTAGAGTTTTCTGCATGGTGAATTCTTCACTTCAAATATGCCATTCAAAGCAGTTTTTGTGCCATCAAAATACACTTGCACAAAAAATTAATTTTTTTTTAACATTGATAATTTGTATTCCCTATGAAGAATGCAGTGCCCTAGACTTGCTTATTTACTCGCATGTGTGAACTGGGCCGTGGTTCCAGCTAAATCACGAGATCATGAAGAAACCAAACAGCTAATGTCCTCAGACCTTCTGTTCCAGCTGAGGCAGTTGGGTAATTTTGAGGGATGGTTACTCTGAGTGGCTTTTATCCCCTCCCTAATCTGAGCAGTGCAGAAACCAATGGCAGTCTCCAAACTCAGTCTGGTAGAACAAACATTTTAATTAGATTCTACAGACATTAAGATCATCCTGTGCCTAGAAATTTTCTTCGCTTTCTCTCCTTGAACAGCAAAGGATAGAGAAACAACAGAGCTGAATCAAAGCTCTTGGAACATTTCAAGGCCAGATAGGTTGTGGATGAAAACTCAGAGACACAGGGAAGGGTCATGTGGGAAGCATAGATACAGCTACACTGGCCTTCAACTGCATTTTGAGCGCTGCTGTTGTTGGGCAATGATGACCAGCAGGAATCTTCTGGAGTTCCCTAAAAACTACAAGGCACTATTTTCAAATTAAGTGTCATCCTTTTAGGACAGAGGTGATGATGAATATTTTGTCTCGGAGGGTTATGCCACAACATCAGAAGGCAGTGACAGATTGGTTGGGGGGAGGGGGAGGGGGAAATTCATTGGAAATTTTTCTTAGTGGCTGCTTTGGGAATTTTTCTTGAGAATTTTTGTTTACAGGCATGTCAGCAGGGTTGGATTTGAGCACATGAACTCCAGGGGCTAAATGCAAAGCTGTACTAACTGAGCCAAAGCTGATACTGCCTTTGATCTAATCCATTGTTATCATACCAGGCCTCTCCATTAATACCGTCCCCTCTTCAACACTGCCCCTCCCTCTCCATGAGACTCACCTCCCCTCCTAGATAGGATTTAAGTGTTGATGGGATAGGCCCAATCCAAGTGATCAGGGCAGCAGCTTTCTCTGCATGGTTTAGAGGTAGCTGGGCGTGGTTGGGTTGAGTTTCCTTGTTATGAGGCCCCTGGGTTCACAGCGTCAGTGCCCTCTCCAAGGTTTTATGCCCTCTGCCAGCTTATTCTCCACCTTGTTTTCCTACCCCCTCCATGACTTCTCAAACTACAGGACCCCCAACCATTTTGCTTGCCCCCCAGTTATGCCCTGGCCTTGTTAGTGCCTACTAGTCCAGTGACATTAGCAATATGCCAGTATGTCCCCTTGGAAATTTGAAAATATATTGGGACTTCTGTTTTTGCTTCAAGTGTGTTGGCCTCATACATACACCAGCCTCTGAATTTCTAACCAGGGGAGTGGAAAATCCAAGTACCCATGTTGTTCAGCTACTTTACAACAGTGACTGCGTGAACTTGATGAGCTGCAAAATGCAAAAGCTGCAAAATCCCCAGAGGGACAACTCTCTCCGTGACTCCCTTGCCCGCTACACACTCCCCTCCAGCCCCACCACACCCGGCACTTTTCCCTGCAACTGCAGGAAGTGCTACACCTGCCCCCATACCTCCTCCCTCACCCCCATCCCAGGCCCCAAGAAGACTTTCCACATCAAACAGATGTTCACCTGCACATCTGCTAATGTGGCATACTGTATCCGCTGTACCCGTTGTGGCCTCCTCTACATCGGGGAAACCAAGCGGAGGCTTGGGGACCGCTTTGCGGAACACCTATGCTCGGTTCACAATAACCAACTGCACCTCCCAGTCGCGAACCATTTCAACTCCCCCTCCCATTCCTCAGATGACATGTCCATCCTGGGCCTCCTGCAGTGTCACAATGATGCCACCCGAAGGTTGCAGGAAAAGCACCTCATATTCCGCTTGGGAACCCTGCAGCCCAATGGTATCAATGTGGACTTCACAAGCTTCAAAATCTCCCCTCCCCTTACCGCATCCCAAAACCAGCCCAGCTCGTCCCCGCCTCCCTAACCTGTCCTTCCTCCCACCTATCCCCTCCTCCCACCTCAAGCCCCACCCCCATCTCCTACCTACCAGCCTCATCCCGCCCCCTTGACCTGTCCGTCCTCCCTGGACTGACCTATCTCCTCGCTACCTCCCCACCTACACTCACTTTTACTGGCTCCATCCCCGTCTCTTTGACCTGTCTGTCTCCTCTCCACCTATCCTCTCCTTTATCCATCTTCTATCCGTCTCCCCCTCTCTCCCTATTTATTTCAGAACCCCGTTCCCCTCCCCCATTTCTGATGAAGGGTCTAGGCCCAAAATGTCAGCTTTCCTGCTCCTCTGATGCTGCTTGGCCTGCTGTGTTCATCCAGCTGTAAACCTTGTTATCTCTGAGCTGCAAAATGCTTTGGTTATGAAAACTGTTACACAAATTTTTTTTCCTCTCTCTGTTTCGCGCTCTCTTTCTCACCCCATCTCTCTCAACCCCTCTTTCACTCTCCACCTCTCTCTCTCTCCCTCACTCGTGGATCCTTGCTGTATGAACATTACCTAATTTCTAAATTATTCTCCAAAAAATAGTTGGTTTAAAAGTATTTTGGGACATCTTGAGGTTATAAGAGGCACATTCTTCCTTTCTTTAAGATTTTTTGAGCTATTAGTTCACCACTGGTTTCACTAAAACTTCCCTCTTTTGCAGCAAACAACAATGATAGGCTTGTTATGATCTACGACTACCCCCCAGCAACGATAAGCCAACCAATCTTCAGGACAGGGGAGAAACTGCGCATTATAGCAGAGTAAGTACAATCCTATCAACAACAAGGGTGTGGCATTGTACCCTCATGCGAGTATACTCAGTCAGCGAGTGACTGCAACTTATCTGACCACAGTGGCTCAGGGGCGAACGAAACCCTGTGTAATGATAACATTCAGTGTTTCTGTGCTAATGTAAAAGTCCAGATGATTCTTCATCAGTGCTGTTTTAAGGGTTTACTGGGTATTAATCAAGATTAAAAATTGCTCAATTTTTCTCCTCCTCATCCTCGGTAGAAACAGAGGCCAGTACTTCACCTCCTTTTCCAACCCAGCTGAAATCAGGCAAATCAAACAGATTTCTCACGAGTTTTGATGTGCAGTATTTTTTATATACCTAGTGGGTTTGTAGATATGGCTGGCTAAAAGAGAAAACAATACTAATCATCATTCCTACAATTAATCCTGTAAGGACACTGAATAGTTGGTTTTCTAATCACTGTAGCTTCAATGCAGGCACTTTCAGTGCAGGCTCAAAAAGGTGAGGGCTACACTTGGTGAAAAAATTATTTTTTGGCACTTTGCCCAAAAAGGCAAGAGTCCCATCAACCCCGCCTTATTTCAGACAAAGAATGTGTGCGCCTATATACGTTATTTACCATCCTTCTTTTTAGTACATTATTTCTGTTTAAAAGGTTTTAGTAAATGTTTTTGCTTCATTTGATATGAAATGCAAGAATACAGCAGAGATCTGAATAATCTGCCTTGGCCATACGGAGAAGTCAAATAACTATTAAAATAAACACCTTACATTTGGCAATGCATAGATTGTGAAAAATAATCATAAAGGATCTTCTGCTCAGTCTCTTTCCTGTTGCTTTCAGTTAATTTTGTTGTCAGAAAAATGCTGTTGTGGATAGTGAGTCGATCTACAGTGCAGTAGGTAGTGTTCCTACCTCTAACTGGAAGCTCTGGTTTCAAGTCCCATTTGGGATTGGATGCCCATGGGAGAAACAAAACAGAAGTAGCTGGAAAAGCTCAGCAGGTCTGGTAGCATCTGTGAAGAGAAAATCATAGTTAATGTTTCGGGTCCGGTGACCCTTCCTTAGAACCTTCTGGGTCACGGACCCGAAACATTAACTTTTGTTTTGTTTCTGATTTGCAGCATCTGCAATTCTTTTGGTTTTTATTTATGCCCATGGAAGATGTGTTCATGGTGTTGTCAAAAACCTGCAAATCTCCCTGATACGTCTACGGCAGTGAGTCTTTAGGTCAGCACCATGTAGTGGATGCAGCACAACAGCTTCCCCATGTTAAAAGTCTCCATGTTCAGGCTCTTGTCACAGGTTGTACTCTGTTGCAAATATCCTCCTCACTATGAACAGGAGAAGATGAGGATGTAGCTGGGAATGGAAGGTTTGATTATGGGAGCATAGGAGATTGAGGGATGACCTTATAGAGGTTTTTAAAATCATGACGGGTATGGATAAGGTAAATGGCAGGTATCTTTTCCCTAGGGTGGAGGATTTCAAGACCGGACGGCATGTTTTTAAGGTGAGAGGAGTAAGATTTAAATAGGACATCAGGTGTAACTTTTTTACACAGAGTGGTTCATATGTGCAATGAACTTCCGGAGGAAGTGGTGGATGCAGGTGTAGTTACAATGTTTGAAGACATTTAGATAAGTACATGAATAAGAAATGTTTGGCGGGATATGGGCCAAGCGCAGGCAGATGGGACTAATTTAGTTTGGGAATATGGTCGGCATGGAATGGTTGGACTGAAGGGTCTGTTTCCATGCTGCATGAGTCTATGACTCAATGAAAAGGTAAAGGCTTGTATTTTAAAATGACTTAGCCATCATTTCCTATTAGCAATCGCTTTATTAAAGTTATAGAGAAATCAAATCCAAAGGGTCAGAGGGCACATATCTTCAAAAGATGCAAACAGTTGAAGAAGTTTTTGTATGGGCTAAGTCAGTTACATTAAATGTCATTAAGGAAAACACCATGCAATTCTATTCTTCTGCTGTAGCTAAACAGAAAGTTTCCAGGAAATTCCAGACTACCATGTTAATTGAAAAAGCCTCAAGATTCATTATTCTGATTGAAAACTTTCAACCCTTTGATTTGCCTTATAACCTAAATCTGGAGGTCTGTTACTTTCTACATAAAAAATGAGCTATAATTTGAACTTCTACAACATCTATCATATACTGAAATATCACAGCAAAAAAATACTTCGCCAACAAAGCAAGCACACTGATAGTTTGAAATAAAATAGAATCTGACAGGCAGTAGCAGAATATATGAGATACTCTGTTTTTATTGGCTGACAGATAAATTTTGGAAAGGGAGAATTTCCCTGCTATCTTCAGCAACATGAAAAGCCGAGAGAACGTTTAGTAGACTGACAGGCCCTTGTTCAAAATCTCTTATTACATAAACATAGGGTCTTATTTCATAAACATAGGGTCTTATTTCATCAACTAGGTAAGTTTAAATTTAAAACCAAAATTTTTAAGCTTTTATACCCTGGCTTGGCCTTAATTTTGTTAAAAAACGTTCTCAGGATATCGCAAGGCTGCTTGTGGGTTTGATACCCAATCCCTCTGCTATAAGCTTGGCAGTCTTTTTCTCCCCATTGGTTCCTTTGTGTTTGCTTCTCCTCCAGAGATGGCACTAGCAGTAGTATGGTGATCCCTCAGCACAGTACTTTAACCATCGGCCCAAACTATGTCCTTAAGCCACCACAGTGGGATTTGGAACTCAGGGCATTTTGACTTAGGGGTGACAGTGTTACTGCTCAGCCAAGATTGACACAGTAATATTGAATAACTTGACAACTGCTTTTCCTCTATTTGTAGTACCAGGGAGGTGATAGCTTAGTGGTATTATCACTGCCCCGTTAATCCAGAGACCCAGGTAATGTTCTGGGGTCCCAGGTTTGAATCCTGACATGGCAGAAGGTGGAATGTGAATCCAATTAGGAGTCTAATGATGATCATGAAACCATTGCAAATTGTCAAGGGAGAAACCCATCTGATTCACTAATGTCCATTAAGGAAGGAAATCTGCCCATCCTTACCCAATTTGGTCAACATGTGACTCCAGACAGCAAGGTGGTTGACTTGAAACTGCCCTCTGGGCAATTAGGAATGGGCAAAAATTCTGGCATAGCCAACAATGCCCTCATCCTGTGAATAAATAAAAAGAATGCTTTACTGATGCTACTCTCTTTATCTTTCCAGAGAAGGTGATTGGTGGAGAGTGAGGTCCTTCAGCACTGGATCTGAGAACTACATCCCACGTGCCTGTGCTGCCAGAGTTTACCATGGGTAAGTTAAGTAGATATAGTTTATCTTGTTTTTTGATGACATAATGTAGTAAAGCATCCCAGGCTTCTTCAGAGAAGCTTTATCCAACAGAATTTGATATCAAGACACAAAAGGACAGAAGAATGGTGAGCTTGGTCAAAGAGGTAGGATTTCAAAAGTTTCTTGAAGAAGGAGATAAAGGTAGTGAGATAAACAGACATGTTTAGTGAGGGAATTTCAAAATCTTGGGCAAGGGAGCTAAAGACATTGATGACAATGGTAGAGCAATAAAAATTGAGGATATCAAAAGCACAAATTGGATGAGAATAGAGAACTTGCAGGAGAGTGGGTTCTGTCAGCATGGAGGAGTTGACTAAGGCTGAGAACGATAAGGCCAGAAAGGTCACTCAGATCTACAATCAGGCATGAAGGTAGGATATTTTGGAAGAAGCACCTCTCATTATCTGGTGCCACTTTCATGGTTTAAAACTACTTTCACACAAGATGCAGCCAGATTTCATGGTTGATGACAAATAAACTGATCATGATCAGGATGCTAAAACTGGGTTCAGCATCTCTGGAGTTATGGAGGGAGAAAAAAAATCAAGGTTTCCTCTCTTGAGTAGTATCCCTTAGCAGACACTGTATTAAATGTGGTCACATGGTGAGGATGGATTATTCAAGCCTGGCTGGGATGTAGCTACATTTCATATATTCTGCCAATTCTTTTATCTAGATCTGTAGGATTATAATTGAAATATCAAACACTGCATAGTGGGACTATATGCTAATATATTTTAGCAATTTATAAAAAAAACCTTGACTATTAGCATTTGTTTTGTGGAGTATGCTAAAGATGGGAAACAGTTCTCTACTTTAATATTTTAACCTTATGATCTTGAACATGTCTATCAAATCTCCCACTAACCTTTTCTGCCCTGCTGAGAACAATCCTAGTTTCGAAAATCTCTCCACATAGGAGCTCAATCTTTTATCTCCAACATAATTCCAGTAAATCACCTCTACATCCTTTACAAGGCTGTGGCACCTTCGGAAATAGCTTAAAAAATCTACAGCCAACTTTTTTCACAATTCAAGACAATATTAGAAGGGGACAGCAAATCAGAAGTATGGCTGTTGATCAACCCAATCCAAGGATGCAGAGTGGAACTTAAAGCACGGTAATGAGGCTCATTTTATTTCTGCCATTGACCAGGTTTCCTAAGTATCATGAATCCTAGCAGCTTCCTTAAGGTGTGAGCTTGGTGGATTCAGGTAGTTAAGAGGCTTTACTCTTAGCCTCTGGATCTAGGTATCTTTCCTAGGAGCCTCTGCATTGAGGAACTCCTCACAACAGGATTCCCCTCTCTCACCAAGAAAACTATACTGCTCCCATCTAAGCCTCGTCCCCAACCAAAAACTCCAGGCCCCAGCAAACTAGGCCTCCAATGTTTTCTATAAATTCATTGTAACTTTGTTCTTCTACTCTATGCCCATACTTACAAGCCCAACATTTCTGTTACACACTTTCAAACTTTCCTCATCTGCTTCCAGGGAATTGCTTTTTTGAATCTCTAGGTCTTACTGGTCATTCACATTGCTGAAGTTAATGGAAAACAAAAGCAGATGAGCTGCACATTCCCAAATTTTGTCAACAAATAGAATCTAAAACTAATCTCATGATGTGTTGCATCTTAGAAATTCTGCCGTTCAAAAGATTGATTAAACTAAGCCCTTCCTGGCTTTTGAGATGGATGGAATAGATTGTGCAGTTTGATTTGAAGATTAGAAAGACTTCTTGGTCAACATTTCTCCTTCAACCCTTCTATTGCTTCGTCCGTTTCTGTACATTCATGAACAGTTGCTGCTGCATTTCCTTTCATAAAGACAGTGATTGCATTTCAAAGATACCTTGAAGATATATTCTGGTGCCCTGATCAATGCAAGTTCTTTCTAATCAATAGTTAGAATATTTTACAAAGTAATGTAATGGAGGTAATTCATCCATTATCATGATTTATGTTTTGGTAAGATACGTGGAAGATACAGTCCTTCCTGGTCTTACTTGTCTAATAAATGATCTGTGGTGCGTGTTCTTTGTGCAGTTGGCTTTTTGAAGGAATCGGGAGACAGAAGGCTGAAGAGTTATTACAGCTTTCGGGCAATAGACTAGGCTCCTTCTTGATAAGACAAAGTGAAAGCCAAAAGGGTAGGTTCACATGTGTTACACTACAAATAATGTGTACGTATTGAATTATTAAATACTTAAAGAACAGAACTTAGCCATTTCACTAACCAGGTCCATTTTATATTAAGGCTTTTCAACAGTTAATTCACTCAGTTGGACTCCACAATATAATACTTGCTGTCTCGTGCCTTTTAAAATTCTTTTTACAAAAAAAAGAGTGCAAACTGCTGGATTTGAGCACAAAGATCAAATCTGACACTCCAGTACTAAGGCAATGCTGCACTGTTGGATGTGCTGACTTTTGGATGGGATGTTAAACTGAGATGCCACTACGCTCCCTCTCATACTGTAAGAATTCTATTCTATACAATCCATTAGGAAGGTAATTCCAGGATTTTGACCTTGCGACCCTAAAGGAACGGCGAAATATTTTCCAAATCAGGATGGCAAGTGGTTTGAAGGGGAATTTGTAGAAGGTGGTGTTCCCATGTACCTGCTGCCCTTGTCCTTCTAGATGGAAGTGGTCATGAGGTAGACCCTGCAGTGATTGAGGGTCTCAATATTCAGGCTTACATGCAATGAATGGTTACTTGACAAAATACTATTCACTTCTTAACTTAGCCTTTAGAAGAGAAGAAGAGAAAAAATCATTCAAACTTTCCACAAACATAGAACCATCTGTCAGCATCTCTTGCCAATAATGGTTTCCTCTCTTCCCTTATTATGAGTACACACACCAGCTAAGAAAGAACCGAAAGTTTTACTGTCTATGCATATGTGAATGTCTTGAAACTTAAATATCATAAATACATTTACAAGTAGCAATATGAGTTTACATTTAACATAATTTAAACCAAAATATATGCCTTGCAAATTATTTGGCGTTTGTGCTCATGTTTTGCAGGTACATATTGCCTATCTGTCAGGTACTACGGTGATGTATCTCAGAAACTAGTGAAGCACTATCGGATTTTCCGTTTGCCTAATAAATGGTATTATATCCAAGAACGTCTCACCTTCCAGTGTTTAGAAGATCTGGTAAACCACTATTGCGGTTAGTATCACAATAACCTCAGTTACATCTGCCCAAATGGCTTGAGGTGCAACTTTGAAATTGGCTTCATTGCAAGGTAGAGATGTGTTAGCCCAAAATTACCCTGGACCAGCTTTTAAATTCAGGCTAAACATATTTATTTATCTTTTATCTTTATACTTATCTTTTCTATTTTCATATTTTTTTTGATAGCTATTGTACAAAAGCCCCAAGATTAAATAGAAAAATTCAGGAATTACACTTGTTTTCTTTGAAATCGTGTGCTCAAAAACTCTGTGAACATTGCCTACTATTCAGGGCACATTGAGAACAGGGTTTGGATCAGTGAAATGAGAAGTGGGATTCATTCACACCAAGAGATTGCTGACTGTCAACTTGCACAAAGCTGAAACGTCCCTCTTCCCTGACATCTTCTGTGATATCAGAGGATGGCCTTATAGAGGTTTATAAAATTATGAGGGGATGGATAGGGTGAATAGCCAAGGTATTTTTCCTAGGATGGGGGAGTCCAAAACTAGAGGGCATTGGTTTAAGATGAGAGGGGAAAGATTGAAAAAAGGACCTGAGGGCTAACATTTTCATGGAGAGGGTGGTGTGTGTATGGAACAAGCTGCCAGAGAAAGTGGGGGAGGCTGGTACAATTGCAACATTTAAAAGGCACTGGATGGGTACATGATAGAAAGGGTTTAGAGAGATATGGGCCAAATGCTGGCAAATGGGACTAAGTTAAATTGGAATGACTGGTCGGCGTGGACATGTTGGACTGAAGGGTCTGATTCATGATGTATATGGCTGTCACTCTATGAGTCTATGAGGTGGAGGCAAGCAAAGAGCTTACCCAGACTGGGAATTCCTTCAGGTTCAGCATTCCTTCTGCCTACCAATCTGAACACAAATGAATCAGGAATACCAGTAAGCTTGAAGGTGGAATCTGAACACCACGGCACTGCTTGCTTAGAAAGTGATATAGGGTTCATTATATAGAGGGACAATTGGTCAAAAACTAAAAAGAAACTTCTATACCCAAGGTAGCAATTGAATTGTGAGACAACAAGGTGCAGAGCTGGATGAACACAGCAGGCCAAGCAGCATCACAGGAGCAGAGAGGCTGACGTTTCAGGCCTAGACCCTTCATCAGAAAAGGGGGAGGGGAAGGGGGTTCTGAAATAAATAGGGAGACAGTGGGAGGCAGATAGAAGAGGGATAGAGGAGAGGATAGGTGGAGAGGAAACAAACAGGTCGAAGAGGCGGGGATGGAGCCAGTAAAGGTGAGTGTAGGCAGGGAGTTAGGAAGGGGATAGGTCAGTCCAGGGAGGACGGACAGGTCAAGGGGGCGGGATGAGGTTGGTCGGTAGGAGATGGAGGTGCGGCTTGAGGTGGCAGGAGGGGATAGGTGGGAGGAAGAACAGGTTAGGGAGGCAGGGACGAGCCGGACTGGTTTTGGGATGCGGTAGGGGGAGGGGAGATTTTGAAACTTGTGAAATCCACATTGATACCATTGGGCTGCAGGGTTCCCAAGCGGAATATGAGTTGCTGTTCCTGCAACCTTCGGGTGGCATCATTGTTTCACTGCAGGAGGCCCAGGATGGACATGTCGTCTGAGGAATGGGAGGGGGAGTTGAAATGGTTTGCGATTGGGAGGTGCAGTTGTTTATTGCGAACCAAGCGTAGGTGTTCTGCAAAGCGGTCCCTGAGCCTCCACTTGGTTTCCCCGATGTACAGGAAGCCACACTGGGTACAGCGGATGCAGTATACCACATTGGCAGATGTGCAGGTGAACATCTGCTTGATGTGGAAAGTCTTCTTGGGGCCTGGGATGGGGGTGAGGGAGGAGGTATGGGGGCAGGTGTAGCACTTCCTGCGGTTGCAGGGAAAAGTGCCGGGTGTGGTGGGGCTGGAGGGGAGTGTGGAGCGGACAAGGGAGTCACGGAGAGAGTTGTCCCTCTGGAAAGCAGATAAGGCTGGGGAGGGAAAGATGTCTTTGGTGGTGGGGTCGGATTGCAGATGGCGGAAGTGTCGGAGGATGATGCGTTGGATCCGGAGGTTGGTGGGGTGGTACGTGAGGACGAAGGGGATTCTTTTTTGTTTCTTATTGCGTGGACGGGGTGTGAGGGATGAGGTGCGGACTTGTAATTTGTTAGCTCTGCGGTTCCTCAGTAAGTTCTCACTATGCAAACGCAGTGCCCTCTAAAGGTGAGATCATCTCATATTTACGCTGGGAGAGTCAGGGGCAGAAACCAATGCTTCAGATTTCACTGCGTCTATGTTTAGAGAATAAGGACATTTTGAAGCCAACTTATTTTGGGCTTGAAGCATGAATCCTGGTATGAATTCTTATTGTCTGATTGTTTATTAGCATATTCTAAGTTTGCATAAATCGCTATAACAGACAGTTCAGAGCTAATGTAGCAAATCTTTCTTGTTTCAGAGGTAGCAGATGGTCTGTGCTGTTTGCTAACCCATCCTTGCCTGGCTGAGCTTGGCACTGAAACCTCTTCTGAACAGCCTGTCATCTTATGTCGCAACCAATTCAATTGGAAAAATGTGAAAAGGTAACCGGACAAAAATTCAGATAAAATTTCTTCTGCAGAAATAGAATCTTAGATAATCATTCAGCCAAATACTATTCCAGCAATGATCGCTACATTAACTGCATTTGTCCCATTTTCAAAAGAGTTGCCCGAAATCAAACCCATCACTGATATCTTGTTACATATATTCTCCTTCACATACAATCCCAAGCACTCAAATTTCTTCTTTCATTTGACTGCAAATTCACTGAAGAAAACATCCTCAGTCCACATTTCATCAGTCTTTTTTCAATTTTTTTTGAACCTGTGCTTTAACTTTGACATGATATATTCTTTACATTGATACTTTGCTCCTCCACATTTCCTAGTCCCTCATCTTTAAGAAAATATTCCGAATGCCCAAGTGGATTGTCTCACACTTCCCCACATTGAATTCCACCAGGTACAGTTTCCCCCGTGTAATCCATCTCTATGGCTCCTACATAACTTCCAACTTCCGGCAGTGAAGGAAAGAAAGAAACATAATTGAGGGTAGGCTAGTTCAATTGATTGTGCAGCTTTCTCTCTCTTCTCCTTCATCAGTAGCATTGCCTACAGTCATCTTGTGATGTTTAGTTTATAGGCAACTTCCCCTTCCCTTTTAATGGCAATGACTGCAGTCATCATACCCCAGCAACCTGGAATATATCTCGAAGTGTGTCACTTTCAATAGCTTCAAACCTTCTGAAAGTCATCTGCAGTGATCTCTAGGCCAGACCACATAAGGATGGCAGATGTCCTTCCCTGAAGAAATGCATTAAATCTTCAGAAGAAAGATATCCCCTTTCAGTGTTTCAGTGTCAAATAGTGTTTGATAATTACTCCTATAAAGCTCCTTGGTGTATTTGACACTAGCTGTTTCTAAATAATATGTCTGGGTAATATATGGGTTACATAACAAATTATAGACAGGAAATAGTGAATGATCTACTGGTTCCTGATTCATTTTTCTTATGGTTTGGTCTGTAGGGCTGAACTGTTGAGCACCAATTCAACGTCTCGAGATGAAGCCTTCGTTAGTTATGGACTCCGGCACAGCATCGCATCTTATATGACTTTGTCACAGATCGATGATGATTCAATCAGTGACAGCAGCAAGAAGAAATGGTTCCCAACCATCAGATCCAGTGCTCCAAACAGGCACAGCTGCCTCCTCACGACAACACTGAGAGATCCATATGAGGATGACTTTGAATGACAGTGTGCCCTACAGCAGCTAGCGGCATACTTGCACTTTAGCAAGTTAATAACTATCATGTTAATGATTCTCACCATTCCATTGCAAATCAGAACCGGCAATCAGTGGAGAAAGCTGCTCTCCAGGTCTATTCACTGATGGCTTGCTGCCTTTTTGCAAAATCTGTATAACATTGTCAGATTTTTTTTGAGCAGTTTTATTTACCGGAATCTGGTACCCTTCTGTTTGAGTTAATGTATTATTGATCATACGTGATGTCAGTCTATATGTACTTCACCCCTCATCATACCAGCCTGAGATTATTGCTTTGTACATATATTTAAATCACACAAATGGCGTATTTTGTTTCATTTTGCATTCATATTTGGCGAGGATCTCTACTCAAAGGGTGGAAGTGAAGTGACTAATCTGTGCTGAAATTTTGTGTCTTGCATTTTTTTTAACTTGTGTATTTATATTACTCATTCAGCAGTTAAAGCCTTCCGCATTGTCTGACAGAGTACAGAGCCCTTTCTGATCCATTGCAGGGTCAGAAAGTTACAATCTGTTCTAAAACTGGGTCAGACACCCATATTATTTCCTAAGCAGTTTCTTATAAAATAAAACTTTCTTTGACGATTTGTGCACACCATCATTTGATGCCCATTTCTGTACCCTTGAACTGAATGCTCGGACATTTCAATGGACACTTCAGAATCAACCACATTTCTGCTCGTCTGCAGTGATCTTTAGGCCAGACCACATAAGGACGGCAGATGTCCTTCCCTGAACTACATTAGTGAACCAATGTAATATGATAATTGATGCGAGATTCATCGTCAATATTACTGAGATGAACTTTCAATGCCAAACGTTATTCATTAAATTTAAATTCCATTAGCTGTCATTGTAGGATTTGAAACCAACTGGCACAGTGGCATTACTACCAATCCCCTAATCACTCTGGGATGTTTCTAATCATGGATTGGAACAGTTGAAGACAAGGGACAAGCCTATTCATGAAAGTTCTTCACTCTAACAAAAAATGGCAGCAATTTATGACAAGCTTTATATTTTCTTTGAGGAAAAGGTCTTTTAGTCATTTTAGCATCTCTCTCAGAAACTTACTTCTGTTGGTCTCTACCTCTAAACAAGAAGCAATTTACAAGTAGTTACGTCTGCATTGGAAGCTCAATCAACATCATATAGAAGCCCATCATGTCACTGAGGTTAGACAACTGCTATTGTCTGCAGTGATTTCAAGGGACCAGTTGTCAACCAGCCAGAAAGAAGCATGGGAGCTCAGAATTTAAACATAATAGCAATGAGGGAAAGAACATCTATTTTTCCATCTTCACTTGTATGGAGGACATCACCTGCGGCCTACGAAATATCAGCTGGAGTTGACAGCAAGGCATACAGAAGCCCCAATTCCGGCCAAGGGGAAAATCCTACCGATAACCTCTAATACCAATAATCTCTTGCAGAGATTTGAGTCTTAACACATACTTTCAATGTAAACATGCTATTCATAAAGTCTGCACAGCCACATTCCAGGACTGCCCTTCAGAATGCAGTGAAATATCACCCTCACCACCACCCCTCCAACTCAAATCTGGTAAGTGGCATCTTCAGAAATCCAGCTGCCAATGTTGGAATGTCAAAACAATTTCCAGTTCCTTATTATTGTAGCATCCATAGGATTTAATCCAAAGCTACAATAGTTTTTTTAAAATGATTAATACATGGGTGCAAGAATATTTCTTAACCCCTAAAAGCTACCAGTCGTGGTGCTTATTTCCCTGATTTTACTGAGTTCCTGTTTATCAATGGGAAAGGAATTGATAGTCAAGTTCACCTCAATAAATAAATATATACTGCAACAACAATTTACATTGACACTGCTCATCAAGGTACATTAGTATCTGTATTAGTTTGTATTAAAGGTGAATCATCCATAATTACACACATTCTACAAGACTACAGAATTATATATATCAAAATTAATTAATTTAACTTTACTATCCTTCCCCTAACTATTCTTACATCTTTATTCCTCTTTAGATATGTGAGGTAATTGGGGTTATTTTATAACATTGCCATTGGAATGGTCATTCACCATTTACAACAAATAGCAACGAATGTGAGATATGCGGTTTAGCATTTAATTTATTCCCAATTTTCTCTCCTAACCTTTTAACCTCCCTGGGCCTACATGACTGTTCAGAGAGTGAGGGTGAATCTGCTTCAGCAAATGGAGCTCTACACCAGTTCACAGTCATTGTATCCAGACTGGAAGGAAGCATGTACTCCCCTAGACAATTGGAACTTGTTCAGAAAAAATATAGCTCCTGTTCAGAGTGTCATAGCCACAATTAGGAAGAAGGGTGAGGTGGTGTCTCGGAGTGAGCTGAAAAAAAAATCCTATCATGTTCAAAAATGCTACATCGCAACAACATGCTTGAATCCAAATGGCAATAATAGCACAGCTAGACAGCTGTGTAGCAAGTTCATTGCTACTGAAAAGATAGGGGGAAGAACATTTGCACCATTCTCACTCAGCTGCTATGCCTCTGTTGGAATATGGTGGATGCTGTATGTGTGTGAGAAAAATAGGGATTTGGCTGTAAATCAGGCAGGGAGAAGTCCTGAGGAAATTCATAGCCTTGAGATTTTCCCTTGTTCCAGCTATAGAGACTTTCCCAAACTGAGGCTGTGTGTATCAAGTCCAGAAGAGTTATTTCTTGTTCCACATTTTAACACATGCATTATTGCCTGTTTCCTCATAGCTTCAATTTGACTATTTCTTACCAGTAATATGGCTCTTTTGAAAGGTCTGGTGCCAGATATCTTAATGAGGTTCATGCTGGTGATAACAGCTCCACCACGGTCTGCGGCGATAGTGATTTGAGACGATGATCCTCCAAAGTAGCCAATGTTTCTCTGCAGCCATTGTAAAGCAGCGATCTGATCCAGCAAGCCCCAGTTGCCAGTCATTGCGTCAGTGCCTACAAAGAGAAAGAAACCTCTTAATCTAAATCCCTTTCTCCCATCCAAATCTGCTGACTCATACTGCTGTACAATTCCACTGGAAGGTCACATCAAACTAGCAGCCTCCAATCTCTCACACTCCATAACACTTTGCCCATGCAAATTTCTACTCCTAAATCTAACTCACATCCATTTACTCCACACTCATTCGATCTCTGATCTACCCTGTTCATCGAGATCGCAATTATTAAGTTCTGATCGCCATTTTCAAATCCCTCAGTCTTCTCTCTCCCTATCTCTGTAACCTCCTCCAGCCCTACCTTCCTTCAAGATTCCTGGCGTCCTCCAAGCCTGGGTTTGTACATGGCTGATTTTCATCATTACCAACCACACCCTTGGATATCTAAGCTTTCCACCTCTCCACCTCTCTCTCATCTTCTAATGCTCCTCTTGTAACCAATTCAAGCTGTCTGTCACCTATCCCAATATTTGTTTCTTTAGACTGGTGTCACCTCTCAGCCTTTGAAACATTTTCATATTAATAGCGTTTTATATTCCAAAACATTGATGCTTTGTCAGCAGTCTTTAAACATGTGGTTGCCCTCATATAGAGTACACACACATGCATGCACAAACAAATATATACATACATACATATTCATCAATATTAGTTTCTGGAAGATAATAAATTGTGGGAAGTCTAGGTGAATTTTCTCAAACTCTTGTACTCCAAGAGTAGTACCATGAGACATTACATGTGTCAATGAGTTAACAGAGGAGTAAAGAAACTTGACATGATGACATTTCTTTAGTTTTAGGACCACAGTGACAATATTATTCATTTCATCCAGGCCCTAAAAAGGAACAAGATCACAATGAACGTACCATCACTCAGGAATCCAAACACTCCAACCCTATAGTTTACTGTCACAACCAGGATGTTTCCAATAGATGCCAGGTAGGATCCATCAATGTTTGTCTGTCTCCCTCCTTTGTAATCTACAGCAGCATTGTGGAAGAAGACCAGCACAGCGTTGTTCCTAGCCTACCATGTAAAAACATTCAGGATTAATAATGAGTTTTGATATCACAGCCATAGTCTCATTTATTAAATAGGTTTCATTTTCCTTATTTGTCTGCTACAGAAGCTGTGAAGAAGGAGGTTTCACAAATGCTCATAGTTCTCAACATCCAGTGTTTTTCATGTGTGTGCCTTATTTTATTGAAATTCAGAGAAATCCATTGTCTTCCCTGCTTTCCGGGCAATTATTACACACTTCATGTTCATATGTGGACAATTACAGCCTCACAAAGTGGGAAATAAAAGCACTCTGTTTATAAACCATTGTGGCTGAAAGATTAACATAGATTCTTTGCTCAAATGGAAGAATTACTCTCACAATGTGGGTACGTTAGTATTGTAAATCCATTAAATATATCTGCAAGTTGTCCAAATACAGACATTGTGACTCCCAAGGAATTTGGAAGAAAGCTCAACTAACACTGTGCAGCCTCCCAGCTGAGAAATATGAATGTGCACTGTAGGCCCGTGTTCTTCCTCATCAACATGTTTCTCTTTGAGGACATTCTACACAGATAAAGAGTTTGATTTTTTACCCATGAAAGTATCTTATTTTGTCATGTGGTCATTTAATTCAATAAGCTTTCCAACTTAAAGCTTTCTCGCCTCCCTGTCACATCCCTCCAAGCCATAACTTATCCTAATCCCTAGCAACATTATCCAAGTTATTAGGTAGCTGCATCTAACCAATTTTATACTTATTCTACATGTTTTTCCCACTCAGGCTGGCTGATAGTTAAGCCTCCTTCATGCTAGGTGTCTTTAATGTGCAGTATGTAGATGAGTGAGGGAGCAGAGCCAAGATTAGACCTCTGGGGACTCTTGAACTAATCAAGCATGGAACTGAAGCAAAACCTAGACTGAAGATACCTTAGCTAGAATTTAATGTGTTAAGTCCAGTAAGAGCAAAGCTATGAAGTTGGACAATAAGGCAGAGGGATTGGAAAGGTTGTTGCAGTTGACCATATCAAAGGCAGCACAGAGATTGAAGAAGACAAGGAGGGATAACGCATCATAATCACAAAGCATGCGGTTTATGTTTTTTTTTAAGTTAAGGCCATTCCATTGTTGTGCTAGGGGATAAATTTGATTGAGCAGTCTTAGGCCAGAATCGTGCAGGGGTCTGAGCAATATGGACTATGGTGAGATTTGTGACAGACCCAGAGGAGAAGTCTGAAGTGCCCGATCTTGATGTCAGGAGTATGATACTCCAATTTTTATATATTAACTGTGTGGCGTGGCAAGTTTCTTACTAGGCAGTGGTTAATTGGCAATTGAAGGAGATTATTGCTTGATAAATGCCATGTTAATGGCACAGGTGATTTCCACAGTTAATGGTAGGGTGCTGGGGGTGTTGTCGAACAGAGAGACCTCGGTTGCAGATACATGGTTCCTTGAAAGGGCCACAACAGGTCGACAGAGTTGTGAAGGTGGTGTTTGGCATACTTGCCTTCATTGGTCAGAGCACTGAGTACCAGAGTTGAGAGTCATGTTACAGCTGTGTAAGATATTGGGTTGACCACATTTGGAATAATGCGTACAATTTAGGTCACCCAGCTATAGGAAGGATGTTATTAAACTGGAAAGGGTGCAAACAGGATTTACAAGGTTGTTACCATGACTGGAGGTATTGAGTTATAAGGGGAGGCTGGAACTTTAAGAGGTAGGAGGCTGAGAGGTGACTTTATATAGGTTTATAAAATCATGAGGAGTATTCATAATGTAAATAGCAAAGATTTTTTCCCTAAGCGGGAAATTCAAAACTAGGGTTGTTAAGGTGAGCAGAGAAAGATTATAAAGGACGAAGGGGCGACTGTTTTACACAGTGAGTGATTAGTGTGTGGAAAGAACTGTCAGAGAAAGTGGTGAATGCAGGTACAGTTACAACATCTAAAAGACATTTGGATAAGTACATGAATAGGAAAGTTTTGGAGGGATATGGGCTAAATGCAGACAGATGGGACTAGATTAGTTTAATAACATGATCGGCATGGACTAGCTGGACCGAAGGGTCTGTTTCCATGCTGTATAATTCTATGACTCCATAACAGGCTCTTAAAGATGGCACGATGTAAGGGCCGTTGCTCTTTCCACAGATATGCAGTGAATAGCGAGTTGTTCTGAGTGTGGTGCATGTTAAGTTGGGAATAGAATGACATGGGAGGACATCTAGGGGCAGGATGGATAATTAATGAGGTGGCTTGGTAAGATATGGTAAGAAATCTCATTGTGCCTCATGGCAACAATCCCTCCTAAAAACCCAACACAACTCAGATTTAAACAAAAAAGATTCAGCCCACGGAGTTGTGGAAAAGTTAAGTATGATTTGGGAGAAAATAGCACATTAAGTACTTGGAGAGGAAAGGGAATTGAAAAGGTGGTGTTAGTTTCCAAGGGCAGAATGATCAAGATCAGATTTTTGAATGAACAGTTAACAAAAGTTTCAACAAAAAAGTTCGATCTCAGATATGTGATCCGCGATTGTGTCCCTGCATTATAAAATGGAAAATAAGTAGCAGAATAATCATGATAAGGCTAGGGAATTACATTTGCTGGGACTTTTAAAAGATTTTTTTAAAAATGGCACTTTACCTCTACTATGAAACATTCCATTATACTGCGATTATTCTGAAATTGTCCGATCTCTTGTTCCCAATATCTTTTTACAGTTGCGCTTGCTGCCAATAGTAACTTTTGAAGTGGCCCAACAAGCCAGTAGTTAGAACAGACCACACCAAAGTGCCAATGGATCATAAAGACCCAACATCAACTTTCCATGGCAGCTGGCACGATGCCCACACATCAAGAATGAACAAAGTGCACTGATACTCCCCACCCCTCCACCCCCCCAGCCAAATGCTGACTGCAGCCATCCCCTATAATGTCACTCTGTTACCGGCTGAAGGGTATAAGAGAGCAAGGGTAACATAACACTAATATATATATTCCTGTCCTGATGAGAAAGGATTGCTCATGCTTGGTGTTTCAGTAATTCAGTACACAAGCACAGATCACCGTCCTTCCCTTAAATGCCATAGGACATCAACAGCAAAACCCTGAAGTTTCTTGTAATACAGGTACCACAACTCACAATGCTCTTGGGAACGAATATATTTAGGTAGAGACAGTCTTCATCTACAGTGGAATAGATGGCCTTTGCATCTCCTGGCTGTAGGCAGCTAGGCCTAAAACAAAAGAGATTGTGGAAGTTAAATACTTGTTAAAACTCTCCGGGGCTAGTTTTAATGGTGAAATTTGGCTGACACCAAATTAGTTTCTTAATATACGCTTACCTGGTTTTGCTTTTGCTTCAGATTGTCAAGTATACATTTTGAATATGTCAATTGTCTATCGCTTAGATAAGTAGCTAGATTTAGTATTAATACTACCTATTTTGATGGACTTTCTTTGGAACATGTTCTACAATTCTTTATCTTTTGAGTGAAGTTATTTTGCCAGACATGTATCATCATTCCTATTTTTCCAATTTTTAAATAATATGACTGGTCCAACTTTTATAGTCCACAAAAAACTTCAGTTGGGTCTCCTCACATTTTCTAAAACAGCTTTGCAGACCTTTATCCTCATTTTTAACATTTGATATCTTTGTTGCTTGTCTCTATAACCTCTCAAAGGCAAAATAATCATTCAAAGACAAAATGATCAGAACAGGACTTTGTATTCCTTATGCATCACTGGTGGCTGAGCAGAAATCAAGACAAATGCAGGGATTAAATACTATGCAACAGCAAAGGCCACGCTCACCTGTAGAAAGTAGCATTCCATTCTCCAGTCCAATTAAAGGTTGCTGGGGCCTTGAATCGGCTATCACCAGTAGGAGCAGCTGCATATGGGACACCCAGGAAACGGTTTACAGCCTTCCATTCCTCACCAACCTGGGCCGCCTGACTAGATCCAAACAAGATTCCATGACCCGGAAGCAAAATGGATGTCAACTGGGGTTGGGTTTCTGATAAGGAAGGGTCTGAATTGAAAAGAAATAAAAATCCATCAGAACAGGTGGCAAGGAGAAAAGAAGCCTCCCAGATTGTTAAGACCATATCCTCCACTGGCTATGTACAGTCAGCTCCAGGTGGGTGTAACGTATTTCTCATTGAAAGAAACTCCAGTGGGCAGCACAGTGGCTCAGTGGTTAGCACTGCTGCCTCACAGCGCCAGGGACCTGGGTTTGATTCTACCCTTGGGCGACTGTCTCTGTAGAGTTTGCACATTCTCCCCGTGTCTGCGTGGGTTTCCTCCGGGTGCTCCGGTTTCCTCCCACAGTCCAAAGATGTGCAGGTTAGGTGGATTGGCCATGATAAATTGCCCATAGTGTTCAGGGATGCCTAGATTAAGGGGATTGAGTCTGGGTGGGATGCTCTGAGGGGTGGTGTGGACTTGTTGGGCCAAAGGGCCTGTTTCCACACTCTAGGGATTCTAGGTTTCTATTTACATACTCACCAGAGCAGGTATGAATGTCGGGACAGCAATCTGCATAATCTTCACATTTCAAGTTACACTGGCAAGGCTCATCAGGTTGGTAAATCCCACAACGACCAGTACACGACCCTCCAATAGCTGAGAAGACATTAAAATACTTTGCTCAAAGAATTTTATTTGTTAGCTTGAAAGAGATGAATTCCAAGACAAAAACAAATATTCAGCCCATTATTACTGCACCAGTCTGCTTGATTAATTCCAGACATGAAAGATTTGTCTTACAAGAAGGATTGAGGTCTTTAGGCCTATACTCACTAGAATTTAGAAGGATGAGATGGGATCTAATTGAGGTATACAAGTTGCTAAATATGATTGACAGATTGGACATGCAGAGGATGATTTCTCTGTTGGGTAATCTAGAACAAGAGGTCATAGTTTTAGGTCATGTGAATGTTTCTGTCAGATGTAAGGGTGAAATTCACATTCTGTGGCTGATAGTAATTTTGTTTTTCACTCAGTTGCTCAGGTAGTTAACATCCTTGCATTTGGTTTGTCATTACTTCTGCTTATTAGGTTTCTCCGATATGGATTCATGGTGATGCTGACAGCCGGTTAATACTGTTAGACTGTAAAACCATTAGACCTAGGAGCGGAAGCAGGCCTTCAAGTCTGATCTGCCATTTAATGAGATCATGGCTGATCCAATAATCCTCAACTCCACCTTTCTGCCTTTTCACAAAGTGGCCTTTGTTGCTGCACTAATTAGATCAGGTAGTGCAAAGTGAAACCTTGGCCTTAGACTTTGTAAGGGTCAAATGTAGCCAGCAATAGCAAGAGGAGTGCTACAACAAGCTTCAGCATCTTTGAGTTAAGGAAGAAAAATAATTCAGAGGTTTTACTGCTCCTAAGTGGTCAGGGACAACATTGTGTGAAAATACGCACAATCCAGACTCATACCTGAAGAATAGTCAATTAATACATCCCAGTGAGCTGTTAATATCTATCATACAGTGAGGACCTGAAGGGGATGAGGTGAAAACAAATATGGGGTGGGGGTGCAAGATATAAAATGGCACCAAAAAAGTTATTACTCAACCAATACGCTATCGATGGAACTCACTCTTCTTATAGTAGACCTCCTCTGCTTCTTCCTTGAGTAGGATTCGACAGTCGTGACCTTGCAATCCAGGGTGGCAGTTGTGGGTGTCAGGGTAAAAAAGGCATCTGACCCCTGACAGCTGAGGCTGAAGAGAAACTATAACACAAGTGTGGCTGGCAACACATGCTGTGCAGAAAAGAAGCAGAAACAGGTCAAGAATGCTCCACCATTTGAACCATTTCTTTTCCTGGGCACAATAAGACATATAGTCTCCATCCTAATTAGGATTTCTTCACTTGAAATGGCATCTCTAAGAGGTTCAGTGAAGGGGGTAAAACCCAGATTCTACACAAAACCATAATTCTAATCCAACTGGCAAACACTTTCAACACAAAGTTGAGAGGTTCAAAGTTATGAAGAAGCCTTGTCAGTATCAACTGTAAAATAATTGGCATCCAGCCTCACTCAGAGGCAATGGGTTAGATTTTGGCTCGGTCCTGATTTGTGTGGAGTCATGAAGCCTCCCCATCTAATTCAAAATGGCACCAGGACCCAGAGCTGGAAGTCCCTAACCCACTTCTAGCAGATCCTATTTTCACCAGGATGGGAAAGGCGGCAAGATGGGATTCTCAAACATGGAGAACGCTGTTAAACCACATAATCCTCAACATTGTTTCCTCAGCACTGTCTCTGGGGACAGTGGGTCTGACTCCACATCAAACATTCAATGTCTCACCCTCCTGGGATGAAAATCCAGCTGGTCAGAGCTGTTTTTCCTCAGTCAAGTATACTGATAGAAGAACTCCAAACTCCCAACTCAGGAGTGAAAATGCAGTCCTTCATGTTATTTTAAGAAACATAGAACATAGAACAGTACAGCACAGTACCCTTTGGCCCACGATGTTGTGCTGACCTATTATCCTATTAACATCAAACTAACCTGCCTCTGACATCTCCCCATACCTTCCTCCAATCACCTTAAAATTATGCCCCCTCGTAATAGTCATTTCCGCCCTGGGCTAAAGATTTTGACTTTGGACATTGAATAAGAGAACAAGGAAATAATATTAAGTCTTTACAAATCTCTTGTTTTGCCCTTACTTATAGTATTATGTACCAATGTCCCTTAGACAACATCTTTTAAACCCGTGACCACTTCAAACTAGAAGGACAAAGGCAGCAGATACGTTGCAGTACCGCTACATGCAAATTCCCCTCCAACCCACTCAATATCTTGACTTGGAAATATATGTTGCCCTTTTGCTGTTTGCTGCGCTAAAAATCCTGGAACTCCTGAAATGAATTGTGAGTGTACCTACACTAAGGGAATTGCAGTGGTTCAAGAAGGCAACACATCTCCACCTTCTCAAGAAGAATTCAGGTGATGCAATTTTGCTGCCTCGGCCAACAATGCTCACATCCCATGAATGAATAGAGCAAAGTTATGAGCACCTTCCTTTATGAAGGATGTCACAGAGTTGATCAGGGTGCAGAGAACAATCCCAAAAGCATCTTAAAATCCCTACTGCGCAGGTAGGGGCCATACAGCTCATTAAGTCTGCACTGACTCACCGAAGATCATCCCACTCAGATCCATCCTTTCACTCTATCCCCACATTAACCACAGCTAATTTACCCACTCTGCACACTACGGGGCAATTTAGCATGGCCTGTGGGAGGAAACCAGAGCACCTGGCAGAAACCTATGTGTCATAGGGAGAGCATACAAATTCCACACAGACTTTCACCCCAGGCTGGAATTGAACCAGGATCCCTGGTAAACTTGCAAATTCCATGCAGACTTTCACTTGAGGCTGGAATTGAACCAGGATCCCTGGTGCTCTTAGGCAGAAGTGCTAATCACTATGCCACCTAATATCAGAAATGTGGGTTCCAGTTAAATGGAAAGATTAAGAGTTCAGAACTGTTCTCCAGTGAAAAAAATTTGTGAAAGGTAGTTATGACATAGAGTTTTTCAAAATGATGGAATTAGAAGCTGTAACTTTGACCAGAGGGGTTACTGATATGCCAGTGTAAGAGGGCCTCTGATTTAACCTTCAGCCTATGGAGCCTGACTGGAATCCTCAAATGTGCAGAACACAATGACTCTGACTGATTAGATCAGTGTTCCAGTAGGCGCTGAGGCAGTCTTCATTGTATTGGCATAGGAGACGTCTTTAATTTCTCATGGGTTGTGGTCACCCCTGGCCAGGGCAACGTGCCTTGCCTATCTGTAATTGTTCTTGAACTGAACGGTTTGCAAGGCCATTTCAGAGAACCATTAAGAGTCAACCATATTGAGAACCTGGAATCACATGTAGGCCAGACCAAGTCAGGATGGCAAATTTTCTTCCCTAAAGGGCATTAGTGAACCAGTGAGTGTTTTTTTCACGACAATTGATGATACTTCATGGATAAAATTACTGTGTAGCTCTCAACTCCAGATTTTGATCATCAAATTTCACATGCATTAGCTGCTTTGATAGGATTCAAACCCATGTCGCCAGAGCATTAACATGAACTGGCTGGCTACAACATTGGCATTATCACCATGTCACCGTAAAAGGAGCTCTATAACATAAGTTAGATTTCTATTCAAAAGAATTCTCATCATGAACAGCTACTGTTAGTGCATTTGCTCTACCTAACAAGTCAATTCAGCAAACACTTTCATGTCCATGGAATGTGCACCATTTCGTTCTGAGAAAGTCATTTTTGTATAATAATAACCCTTGTCATAAAGATCAGCTGTTTATGTGTGCTCACCTGACAGGCACCTGTTTCTGGCATAGTTTCTGAAATCTTCAGTCATCATAAGACTATCACAGTTGATGTGCAAAACATCAAAAGAGGTTATCATGGGATCGAGGCCTGGGGGTACCTTGAGGATGTCCCAGTTATTCAGTAACACTGCAATCAAACCATAACAGTTAAATTAGTCATAATCTGAAATGCATTGAATGTGTGAGCAAACTCAAATACTGTAAGTCCTAAGGAGTGTGAGTAAGGATGGTGTGTGATATGTTTCAGCTTGGCCTCATTAACTATAAAGGAATTCTCAACTCTATATATAGAATGAATGAGATAGCGATCTATTCTGTCAAAACAGGTGGAGGAGAGCTGGAGATAGAGAGCAATAAAGGGAGAGAAAGAGATTGTGAAAAAAAATGAAAGAAGAAAAGTAAAGGGGGGAAAAGGAAGTCAAATTACAAGAAATTTATCATCTAGACCCAAAATGTCACTAGCTTATATAGGAATGGTGTGGTTAGCCCCTGACTGAACATAGCCCATAGAACATAGAATAGTACAGCACAGTACAGGCCCTTCGGCCCACGATGTTGTGCCGAATCTATTATCCTACTCTAAGATCAAACTAACCTGCATACCCGTCATTTTACTATCATCCATGCGCCTATCCAATATCCCTAATGTATCTGACTACCACCACCGCTGGCAGTGCATTCCACGCACCCACCACTCTCTGTGTAAAGAATCTACCTCTGACATCTTCCCTATACCTTCCTCCAATCACCTTAAAATTATGCCCCCTCGTGATAGTCATTTCCACCCTGGGTAAAAGTCTCTGGCAATCCACTCTATCTATGCCTCTCATCATCTTGTACACTTCTATCATATCACTTCTCATCCTTCCTTGCTTCAATGAGAAAAGCCCTAGCTTCCTCAACCTTTCCTTATAAGACCTGCCCTCCAGTCCAGGCAGCATCCTGGTAAATTTCCTCTGCACCCTCTCTAAAGCTTCCACATCCTTCCTATAATGAGGCGACCAGAACTGAACACAATATTCCAAGTGAGGTCTAACCAGAGTTTTATAGAGCTGCAGCATAACCTCATGTCTCTTAAACTCAATTCCCCTGCCAATGAAAGCCAACACACCATATGCCTTCTTAACAACCCTATCAACTTGGGTGGCAACTTTGTGGGATCAATAGATGTGGACCCCGAGATCCCTCTGTTCCTCCACACTGCCAAGAATCCTACCATTAACACTGTATTCTGCATTCCAATTCAGCCTGCCAAAATAAACCACTTCACACTTTTCCAGATTGAATTCCATCTGCCACTTCTTTGCCAAGCTTTGCTGGTTGGTTTAGTAATTTTCTCCAATTCATCATGCAGATCAGGAAGATCTTAACTACTAAGTTAGCTGATCTCAGAAATAATGGCTCTACAATGAGTCAAACTACTTCTAGGTGAAGGATAGAATATCAGATAGGACTCTACAATCCCTAATCTGCCCAGTAACTGAGGATAGAGTTTGCGGGTATGAACAATATGTGGACATAGAACATGGTTAGCTGTGTGCATTCCATGGTACAAAATTCCAACAATATCAGAAGCGGGGAGATGATATAAAGTCGGCAACAGAGAAGTATAACACCAGGGCAATTTTACTTTCCCCATTCGGGTCAAGAATATTTTCACTCAGTATCATAGCTTGTGGCTCTTGAAGTTGCGAGACCAGAAATAGAAGGACACTTTGTCCATGTCTAACACCAATATAATGGTTTACCCCTAGAGATGGAGGTGGACATGGTATTCCAACTGACAGACTGGCAAGTTTTCTTAAAGTCCAAAGAAGTAGTTGTATGTTCAGTAACAAGTATAGACTATTTCTAGGAAAGGAGAAGGCACCTCATCAGAAAAGAAGGACACTCAGTTTTTTTCTTGGAGTTGCATCTGCATTCCCGCCCTAAAATTATCAAGAGAAGAGACAAAAGCAGTCAGAAATTGGAAATGTGGGATCCCTGTTTCAAAGTGTAATAGAGGGAAATCAAACTGAGGTGTGGGAGAATTTTGTTGTATTTAATCAAGAGGTTTACAAAAGCAAGTAGATGAAGCCAATGCGATGGAATGCCACATTCCCTTTGTGTTCAGCAACCTGACTCAAGCATTCTGGACAATTAAGAAACAAAGTGGAAATGATAGGAATATCCAGATACTTACAAGAATTCTAAAATTAATTGGGAGCATACAAATAGGTGAGTCTTGCTAAACCTATAAAAAACACTCATCTGACTACACTATAACATTGTGAACAGTTTTAGTCCCCTTATCTAAGGAAGGATATACTGGTATTGGAGGCAATCCAAAGAAGGGTCACTATGTTGATTCTGGGTATGGAGATACTGTCCTAGGAGAAGAGGTTGAGTAGATTGGGCCTGTACTCAATGGAGTTTAGAAGAATGAGAGGAGACCTTTTTGAAACATACAAGATTCTTAGGGCAAAGTAGATGAGGAGAGGTTGTTTCCCCTTGTGGGAGAATCTCGGAGCAGAGGGTATATTATCAGAGGAGGGGTTGCCATTTAGAATGGAGATGAGGAGGAATTTCTCCTCTGAATAACCCATAAGAAGTAGGAGCAGAAATAAGCCACCAGGTCTGCTCCACGATTCAATAAGATTATGGCTGATCTGATAACCCTGAATTCCACATTCATGCCTTAGCTTCATAAGCCTTGATTCCCTTTCTAATTAAAATCTGTCTTCAACATTAAAGAGACTTAATGTTCCAACTTTGACAGCCCATTGCAATAAAGAATTCTACTGAATCATTCCCAATTGAGAGAAAAAAAAATTCTTCTCATCTGTCTTAATGTCCCTTGTGGAAGAGTCTAGGACCAGGTGCATGATTTCAGACTAAGTGTTACCCAGTTGGGACAGCAATGAGGAGAAATTTCTTCTCTCAGATGGTAGGAGGCTGCACATTTTTTAACCACAGAGTGCTGCAGAGATTAGGTTGCAAAGTATATTCAAAGCTGGGATAGACATATTTAACCAGTAAGGGAATCAAGTAATATGGGGAAAAGGCAGGGAATTGGACTATGGATCCAGTCTACTTCCAGCAGGGCCTGCAGCGTAGCAAGTATTCTGTTGAGATTTTCACTCTTCTATGTTCATGGTGATGAAGCAAGACTGAAAACTGTCAACCTTATATTATAAATTTCAACTTAAAAAGGCTAGAGTGGGCGGCTATTCAGATTGGAGGAAGGTAGAAAGCTGTATTCTGCAAGGAGCAGTGAGGTGACCACAGATGTTGATAAATTACATTGGTAGTTTGGGCCCACGTACAAATAGATCAATACTTGCAGTTTATACTAAACTGCGGTGTGTAGCTATCACTGAGTAAGCATTTAATGTATCAAAAAAGTCGATAGAAAATAGCAGACTGAGTAGTTAAGTAGCAAATAAACTTTAACATCTGTATATGTGAGGTGATGAGGTTTTGGTAAGAAAAATAGAAATCACTTACACTTTAGGAGATATGCGAATGAATGGAATAAAAGAGCAGAGATCCAGAAGTACATATGAACAAAGCAGTTCATTACAGCAATTAAAATGCCAACAAGACCCTGGGATTTATTTCTATAGAATTCAAAAGCAGTGAAGTTGAACTTGTATAGAAATCTCTGTCAGGCCATTTTTAGGAGCACGGTTTTCATCTTCATACAGTAAAAAATCAATAAAAGCAGTGGACAGACTGCAAAAGTGAGTTGGAAAGATGATACTAGAATTGAGAGGATTACAGCTATTAAAAAAGATAAAACAGATTGAGCGTTTTTCCTTCAGAAAATAAACAAAAAACTTAAGAAGTGACCTGGCAGAAGTCTTTACAATTAAGAATACGTTGGCAGGGTAGATATGAAGGCACTGTTTTCAGTTGCAGGAGATCCAAAATCAGGAACTACCAACACAATACAGAATACTGAAAGACGCCTTTAGTCACAGAATGTTTAGAATGTGGAATTTACTACCATAAGAAATGTTTGAGGCTTTTATACTTTTAAAAGGAAACAACATACGTACTTGAGAAAAAAGGAAGATGTGCTGAAAGGCTGGGATGTGCAGAGGAACTGGAGGAGACTCATGTGGAATGAAAGAAAATGTAAGGATCCATATTCCCAGAGGATTATAGGTTGTTCTCTCTTTGACAGAAAGAGAGATTGAGTAAAAGAGAGAGAGTGAGTGAGAACTGGTGGTGGGTTTAACTTGAGAGTCACCAAACCTCAGGGGATGGGAAGGTTGAGAAGGTAGACCCTTCACTGTGTCCTTAACAATTAGGGGAATTGACTCACTTCACTCCACATTGCAAACAGCAGTCCAGCCCAATACAAAATCTAAATAAGCCTTATGCTTGGCAGGAGCTAAAAACTAGAGATGTGGTGTTGACTATGCATTATACACCCCTTCCCCTCTTTTCCTGTTTCTCCTTCTCTCAGATGGTCATGAAAGATGCTATAATGTTATTTAAAGAAGAAAAGTGAAGTTCACCTGGCAAATCTATATCAATTAACCAACAGCAGCAAAACAAGTAATTTGGTGTTACTGTATGTCTTTTCCGTTTTTGGCTACCACGTTCCACACATTATGACTGCACTGCAGAAAATATTCATTTGCTTTGAAGCAGCTTGAAATGACTCTGAAATAATGAAAGGTTTTACTGAAATAGAAGTCTTTCTTTTTACCCTTCATATCATATAGTATCTGACAGAGTATATACAGGTGTATATACAGTATATTCAGAGAGCATCCTCAAGTCTTTATCTCCATTTCAGGTTCTTGGAGTACACTGAGCCACATTATCACCCCAGTGATTTAAATGCAGATTAGAACAGTGACCATTCAGCAAAGATCAACAAATGCTTGACCTGTGGTTTCTGTTTCAGAAGTAATGAGCGCACTTCATGATTGGAGGTGGGGGCATATTCCAGGAAGTTTGTGGTTTTTCTGTGAAAGGCAGAGGTGAGAGCATTCTCTGCGGTACAGTTGCTGGGTGTTCTGGGGGCTATGTTTCATGTGGTTTCTCTATGATAAGCAATCATAATCGATGTGCTTCAACAAATGTGCTGGGATATTGCAGAATATCACAGCTTAAAATATAGGAACAAAGGAATAGAACACGGCTGTTTTACTATTCAAGGTGGCAGCTCACCATCACCAATTCACAAGGCTAACTACAGAGGAGCAAAAAATGCTGGGCCAGCCAAAGACACTGACATCCCATAGTGAAAATTAGCAGATCTTGGCTGACCTGTGACTTAATGTACACGCTAGAGTCCCTAATAACTTAAAAAAACATAAATTTGAAGCAAAAAATTAGTCTAGCATCAATTTCTTTGTGAGAGATAAGTACAAATTTTTACCACCGTTTTGCTGAGAAGATTTCAATTGTGGAAGTCTGGCTCTAAATTCGAGATTGTTCCACCACCAACTCCCCCCCCCCCCCCCCCCCCCCCCCCACCCCCCCACCACCACCACCCAACCCACCCAGTCCTGGACTTCCTAATCTGGAATTAAAAATCTAATGATTTCCTAAAACTATTGTTGATTGTTGCAACTATTGATTAATTGACTATCATTTTTCAAAGTTCTATTAATTCTGCAATTGCGGCAGCAGATTGCAAGGTTGCAAATGTAACCATATTGTTTAAGAAAGTAAGAAAAGAAACTACAGAAAACTACAGACTTGTCATGCTGATACCAGTTATAGGGAAAATTCCAGAATCTATTACCCAGCATGTGATTATTGGATATTTAGAAAATATATGTCTGATATGTCAGAATCTGCGTGGATTTAGAACGGGAAATCATCTTTGACAAATCTGCAAAGCTTTTAATGATGTTACTAGCAGAGTCAAAGAAGAAGGAACCTGTGGATGTGGAGTATTTTGATTCTCAGAAGGTTTTTGATAAAGTCCCACGCAGGAGCTTAGTTAGAAAAGAAGATTAAAGTGCATGGGACGGAGAGTAATATACTCACTCGGATTGACGACTGGTTAACAGGTAGGAGACAAAGAGTCTGAATGATTTGGATGTGGTGCACACTTGTAAAATTTCCAAATTTGCAAAAAATACAAAACCTGGTCGGAATGCGAGTTTTCAGGGGGATGCAAAGAGGCTTCCAGGACATTTAGATAGACTGAATGTGTGGACAAACACATGGTAAATTGAATTAAATGTGGATAAGCCTGAGGTTTTAGAAATTGAGATAACAAGGTGTAGAGCAGGATGAATACAGCAGGCCAGGCAGCATCAGAGGAGCAGGAAAGCTGATGTTTCGGGTCTGGACAACTGAATTGTCCCAGGATTCATTGTGAAGCATAAGATTTCAATTAACTGTTACAGTTGTAACCCACCTTCTACAAACACAAAACAAAAGATTTATTAGGCACCACAGTGCCCTACAATCGATGCAGTGCTTGGAAATATAAGATGTTTTTGTTCTTATGAAGAATGGTAAACCAACCCCCAGATGAAGGTGGGCAAGGGGTCAATGGTCATCCTGGCATTATGTATAGCTGCCCCTGGTCATTGGCCATAAGGTGATTGATATATATATATATAGATTGCCAGCCCTTGAATTGAGGTATATGAAAAAAGAGTAAGTGGGAAGTGAGAAGAAAATGAGGGAGGGTCCAGGGAAAACAGCCACCACCTTCTTGGGAGAAGACCAGGAGCTCCCCTAGTTCAGCTCAAGGGAAAGGATAAAGAATTCTACCACTAAAGACAATGACCAAAGACTGAAGAACATCAGGAATGAATGCTCCATTACTCCAAAATAACAGGAGCCTCTGCTTCTCCATTCTACAGAACAGTTTCAGGATCAGTAAAGCACAGTAATCTGCCAGAGGTTGTTGATTTCCTTTATTTGTCAAATTACAAACTGTATTACAGCAAACTACTGCTTCTTAAACTCAATAAATTAGCCCAAAGTTGCTTACAAATTGGAGACTGCCTGTATTAGGTAAGTGTGATCTCACACTCCTGAATTCTATGCACTTTGGTTGGAGGAACAAAGCTGCAGAGTATTTCTTAAATGACAATAGATTGGAAAGAGCTAGTGTCTAAAGCGACATAGTTGTCCTTGTTCATAAGTCACTGAAAACAAACATGCAGGTCAGCAAGGTCAGTAGGTAGATGGAAAATGCGTACCTTTTCGAGGACGTGAAGGAAGGCTGACAAGGGGGCACATGTTTCCTGCACGTTTCCACTGGTTCACTGCGAATGGACATCAGAAGATAAGTTAGCTGACAATTCAAAAACAAAGGGCATGCCCTTCACAATTTTTCCATCTGTGTTATTGCCTCTTCTACTGAAGATGCTGACTTTTCCAGGTTTGTCTAGAGGCAGACGGCAGAGTGATGCAGTGTCCGAAAGAAGCAGAAAGTGAAACTTCAAGCCCTCCTTTGGACAGATTTCTACCCTTATAGTCTGCCAGCCAATCTGATTGATCAACAGCTCTGGAGTCCCAGCAAAGCCAGAACTTATTGGAGACTGCAAGACATCTCTGGGATGAACAGGACATTGCCACTAAAGAGATACAAGTATGGGATTTTGGATGGAGAATGATCACGATGCCTGAGAGGGTGAGGAAGGTTATATGGGATGGATGTGAATTGAAAGGTATGCAACTTGGAGGCCCAAAAGGAGGTTAACAACTTGTGGGTTTCCCCAACGCATGCACAGCCCCTCCCTAATGTTATCCCCAACACCTCTTTCCCATCTTTTCAACAAAGTTGTTTAAAAAACAGCTAACTCCCACTCTCGACTATCTGCTCATGACAACCATATACTATTCGGGTTAATTGACTTATTAAGAACAAAGGGCAATACCATCAAGGATTTTCTTTCAAAAAAAAGTGATGGCAGGTCAGGATTCCAATTTTGGTAAACAGTCTCGTAGCGAACTATAGGAAGTGGGTTGGGCGTGGACAGGAAGGTGGTATCTCACCACCTTGCATGTTTTATGTACTCCCTGCCAAAAATTCTCAAGAGGATGGAAGGTAAACTCCAAACAGCTGACTTTTCTGTAAATACAGTTCATCAATATCTCATCCAAACAACCATTCTTCATGTGTGAAGCTTGACAGTAAGTGTCATGAAGTTACTTGACATTTGGTTAATCACAGCTTGGTCTCATCCTTAACCAAAGTCTACACTTTCTACTGGGGTTAATTGGATAGAGATGAATAGTGAAACCTTTGCATTATTGGTACCCTCACTCAGTTCTCCTCCTCTCCAGCAGACATGGGATTGGACCTGGGATATGTCTGGTCTACATTGTTCCATACCATTATGTCCTAAAGAGATATAAGGATTTCAGAGCAGGAGTGCTTTAAGGGGAGGACATCTTGCTGAAACAGTGGTAAAAATGAAATGAGTGATGAGTATAAGACGCACATGCTATTGTTGAATTCACAGTTTTGATGTCATTAAGTGATTCCTTCTTCATGTCCAATGTTTGGTCTTGGTTATTACTATACAATTTTATCAGAAACATATTTAGAAGGTCTAGAAATTTTTAGGCCCATAATTAAAGCCTTACACATTTCAAAATGGTGATGTAAGCACTGTCAAGAATTGATGAAGTAGCCAATGAATGTTTCATAATATCTTTGCTTTCATACTACCAGATGCTCTCCTGAGATTAATCTTTACATTTTCACATCAAAGGGTAGAACTTCCTACACATTTACCCTCTAAAGAAGTGAATAATTTGGGGTATAAAACAAACACCCAGAGTAAAAATATCTGCCAATCTAGGGGTAAGAGGTCAAGCAAACTCAAATGGATGTATTTACCTAAGCCTTAATTTCTTCCTTCTACAACACAAGCTTTTCAGTTCCTGTGCCAAATACATCTGGGCTCATTATATTGACTCCACAACTAAGCTAAAGAACAATACACGAGAAATTCCTCTATTTATGCTGGTTTTAAACGAGTTAAAATTAAACCCAGAATTTTAGGTGCAACAGAAGTTTAAGTGATTTTCCAAATATTTTTATGTGTTTGTTTTTAAACCATATGTTGAAAAACCTCTCGTCACAGAAACCTGGACTGCATACTGTCTCCCTGAATTTTTTTTATTTCCCTCATAAGAGTCACATTAAAAATATAAACACTTGGAATTGTCTGTTTTCCATATGCTGCTTCGAATAGTATTTAGAAACTTGAATTAACATACTTTAAGAAGGAATAGTGGTGATTTCCATTTGTCTATATTCTGAAATATAGTACGCTAACAAAATTGGAGGCAATTTAGAGTGAACTTAAATTGGCAAAATGGTGCATGGATGGACAATAGCCATCATGCTAAATTGGTTGATACTGTATCTTCCAACAAGGAACGTCAGCCTGAATTTCTCTTTTTTTGGATCTTTGGCTCATCAAGTATTTTAGTCACCAGGAAGACTACAAGGAAATGGATCATTTTTCTTTTTTAGAAACCTGCTTTTCAGCAGAAGGTCCCTATGAATAGGAGACAAGAGTAGGCCACTCTGCCCTTTGAGCAAAAAGGTCATGGCTGATCGGATTTTAACCCTTAATCTACATTCCTGCACATCCCTGATAATTGTTCATCCTCTAGGTAATCAGGAATCTATCTACCTTTCTATTAAAAATATTTAAAGATTCTGTATCCACTGCCTTTTGAGGAAGCTAATGCCAAAAACGCACAACCTTCTGATAGTAATAAAAGTTTTCTTGTCTCCATTAAATGAGTGCCCCACAGTTTTTAAACAATGACTCTTAGTTCTAGATTATCCCATAAGAGGAAACATCCTTTCAACATCCATCAAGTTAACTCCCCTCAGAATTTTATGTTTCAAGTAAGTCACCTTGATTTTTCTAAACTTCACAGGATAGAGACCTAGTCTTTCCACAGAAGGCTCTTCACTCATTCCAGGTATTAGTCTAGTAAACCTTGTCTGAACAGCTTCCAATGCATTAGCATCCTTTTGAAACTACAATGACCACTGCTGTACACAGTACTCCAGATGCATTCTTTTTAATGCCCTGTACAACTGAAGTTTCTGGGGGTAATTTGGGGGGAACACAGAAATTCATCCCAAGGAAGAAGAAAACTAAGGGGAGGACGAGGCAACCATGGCCAAGAAGGAGGTCAGGGACAGCATAGAAGCAAAAGAAAAAGTACACAATGTGGTGAGGATCAGTGGGAAGTCAAAGAATTAGGAAACCTTTAAGAACCAGCAGAGGGCAACTAAAAAAAAAGGGGGAGAAGATGAAATATGAGGATAAGCTAGCTAGTCATTTAAAGAAGATTGCAAGAGCTTTTTTAGATATATAAAAGGTAGGAGAGAGAGAAGAGTGGTCATTGAAAAGAAGGCTGAAAAATGAGACGGGAGAAGTAGTAATGGGGATCAAAAAGGGAGGAACTGAATATATGCAAGACACCAGTAGCAAATCAGAATGTTAGCATTTATTTTCAGAGGGCTATCATATAAGAGTAGTGATGTATTGCTGACACTATATAAGGCTCTAGTCAGACTGCATTCGGAGTATTGGAAGCAGGTTTGAGCCCCATATCTAAGAAAGGATGTGCTGGGCTTAGAGGGGATCCAGAGGAGGTTTACAAGAATGATCCCGTGAATGAAGGGCTTGTCAAATGAGGAGTGGTTGAGGACTCTGGCTTTGTACTCAATGAAGTTTAGAAGGATGAGGAGGGATCTGATTGAAACTTACAGAATACTTTTTTTTATTTATTAATTTTGTGGGATGTGGGTGTCGCTGTCTGGCCAGCATTTATTGCCGATCCCTAATTGCCCTTAAGAAGGTGGTGGCGAGCTGCCTTCTTGAACCGCTGCAGTCCACTTGCTGTGAATTGACCCACAATGCCATTAGGGAGGGAATTCCAAGATTTTGGCCCAGAGACAGTGAAGGAGCAGCAATATATTTCCAAGTTAGCATGGTGAGTGAATTGGAGGGGAACTTGAAGGTGGTGGTGTTCCCATTTATCTGCTGCCCTTGTCCTTCTAGGTGGAAGTACTTGTAGGTTTGGAAGGTGCTGTCTAAGGATCTTTGGTGAATTTCTGCAGTGCATCTTGTAGATAGTACGCATTGCTGCTACAGAGCATTGGTGGTGGAGAGAGTGGGTGCTTGTGGATGCAGTGCCAATCAAGCGGGCTGCTTTGTCCTGGATGGTGTCAAGTTTCTTGAGTGTTGTTGGAGCGACACTCATCCAGGCAAGTGGGGAGTATTCCATCACATTCCTGACTTGTACCTTGTAGCTGGTGGACAAGCTTTGGAGAGTCAGGAGGTGAGTTAGTCGCTGCAGTATTCCTAGCCTCTGACCTGCTCTTGTAGTCACTTCATTTTTGGGGTGAGTCCAGTTGAGTTTCTGATCAATGATAATCCCCAGGTTGTTTATAGTGGTGGATTCAGTGATGGTGACATCATTGAACGTCAAGGGGTGGTGGTTAGATTGTCTCTTCTTGGTGATGGTCATAGTCTGGCATTTGTGTGGCACAAATGTTACTTGCCACTTGTCAGCCTAAGCCTTGATATTGTCCAGTATTGCAACTGTACTGAAACAGCTTGGCTAGGGGAGTGGCAAGCTCTGGAGCACAAGTCTTCAGTACTTTTGCTGGAATATTATCAGGGGCCATAGCCTTTGCAGTTTCCAGTGCCTCCAACTGTTTCTTGATATCACATGGAGTGAATTGATTGGCTGAAGACTGGTATCGGTAATGCTGGGGACCACTGGAGGATGCAGAGATGGATCATCCATTTGTCACTTCTGGCTGAAGATTGCTGTAAAAACTTCAGCCTTATCTTTTGCACTGATCTGCTAGGCTCTTCCATCATTGAGGATGGTGATATTTGTGGAGCCTCCTCCTCCAGCGAGTTGTTTAATTGCCTACTACCATTCACGACTGGATGTAGCAGGACTGTAGAGCTTACATCTGATCCGTTGGCTGTGGGATTGCTTAGCCCTGTCTATCACTTGTTGCTTAGGCCATTTGGTGTGCAAGTAGTCCTGTTTGGTGGCTTCAGGAGGTTGATACCTCATCTTCAGGTATGCCTGGTGCTGCTCCTGGCATGTCCTCCTGTACTCTCCATTGAACCAGGTTGATCCCCTGGCTTGATGGTAATGGTTAAGTGGGAGATATGCCAGATTTGAGGTTACAGATTGTGCTGGTGTACAGTTCTGCTGCTGTTGATGGCCCAAAGCGCCTCATGGATGGCCAGTCCTGAGTTGCTGGATCTGTTCAAAGTTTGTCCCATTTAGCACAGTGATAGTGCCACACAACACAATGGAAGTTATTCTCAATGTGAAGGTGGGACTTCATCTCCACAAGGACTGTGCAATGTTCGCTCTCATCGATACTGTCATGTACAGATGCATTTGCAGCTGGTAGATTGGTAAGGATGAGGTCAAGTATGTTTTTCTCTCTTATTTGTTCCCTCACCACCTGCCGCAGACCCAGTCCAGCAAATATATCTTTTAGGACCCAACCAGTTCGGCCAATAGTACTGCTGCCAGGCCACCCTTGGTGGTGGACATTGAAATCCCCCACCCAGAGTACATTATGTGCCCTTGCCATCCTCACTGTTGCCTCCAAGTGTTGTTCACCATGGAGGAGTACTGATTCATCAGCTGAGGGAGGATGGCACGTGATAATCAGCTGGAGGTTTCCTTTCCCATGTTTAACCTGAAGCCATGAGACTTCATAGGGTCTGGAGTCAATGCTGAAGACTCCGAGAGCAACATCCTCCCAAGCGTATACCACTGTGCCACCACCTCTACTGAGTCAGTCCTGCCGGTGGGACAGGACATATCCAGGGATGGTGATGGTGGTGTCTGGGACACTGTCTGTGAGGTATGATTCTGTGAGTATGACCATTTCAGGATGTTGCTTAACTAGTCTGTGAGACAGCTCTCCCAATTTTGGCACTAGCCCCCACATGTTAGTGAGGAAGACTTTGCGGGGTTGACAGGGCTGTTTCTGCTGGTGTCTTTTACAGTGCCTAGGTCAATGCCAGGTCATCCATCTGGTTTCATTTCTTTGAGACTGTGTAGAGACTGGTACAACTGAATGGCTTGCTAGGCCATTTCAGAGGGCAACTAAAGTCAACGACATTGATGTGAGTCTGGAGTCACATGTAGGCCAGACCAGGTGAGGGTGGCAGATTTCCTTCCCTGAAGGACATTAGTGAACCAGATGGTTTTTTTCCGACAGGCGTCAATGGGTTCATGGTCATCAGTAGATTCATAGTTTCAGATTTTTTTATTGCATTCAAATTCCAATATCTGCCGTGGTGAGATTAAAACCTTGGTCCCCAGAACATTATCCGGGTCTCTGGATTAATACTCTAGTGATAATACCACTGGGCCATCACCTTCCCCTGAGGGGCCTGGGTAAAGTAGATGTGGAGAAGATGTTTTTACTAGGACCCAAGGGCACAGCCTCAGAGTGAAGCGGCCACACTTTAGAACTGAGATGACGAGGAATTTCTTCAAACAGAGAGAATGAATCCACTAATCCCATTGCTACAAGAAGGCAGTAGAGGACAAGTCGTTGTATAATATAAGCCAAAGACAGATAGGTTCTTGATTAATAAGGGTATCAAAGGTTATGGGGAATAGGCAGAACAATGGAGTTGAGAAATATATCAGCCATGATTGAATGACAGAGGAGACTCAAAGGGTGGAATGGCCTAATTCTGCTCCTATATTTATGGTCTTTTGTCCTAATCTCCCTATGTTGCATTCAATCCCTTCTCAATAATCCATAACATTCTATTAGCTTTCCTGATTACTTGGTCTCCCTACATATTAACCTCCCGTGATTCATTCACAAGGACACTCAGATGTCACTGCATCTCAGAGATCTGCAACCTCTCGTCATTAAGTTAACATGCTTCTTTTCTATTCTTTCTGCTAAAATGGACAATAACACACTTTTCCACATTGTACTCCATTTGCCAGATCTTTGGCCACTATTTAATCTGTCTATATCCGTCTGTAGGCTCCTTATCTCCTCTTCACTACTAAGTTTTCCAACTTCTTGGTGTCATCAGCAAATTTAGCTGCCATACCTTTGGCCCATCATTAATGTAAATCATAAAGAGTTGAGGCTCCTGTACCAAGCCCAGTGGCATACGCTTATGATATCTGCCATCCTGAAAGACACCCATTTATTCCTACTATGTTTCCTGTTAATCAGCCTTTCTTCTGTCCATGCTGACATGTTACCCACTAATCCACAAGCTTCTACTTTCCATAAGAATGTTTGATGTGATACCTTGTCAAAGGCCATCTGAGGATCTAAATACAATACAACCACTAGTTCCCCTCTATCTACAGCACAAGTACTTAGACTCATAGAGATGTACAATACAGAAACAGAGAAAGGAGGGTACTGGCACTGAAGGGGGTGCAAAGGAGGTTCACTAGGTTGATTCCGGAGTTGAGGGGGTTGGCTTATGAGGAGAGACTGAGTAGCTTGGGATTATATTCATTGGAATTCAGAAGATTGAGAGGGTATCTTACAGAAACATATAAAATTATGAAGGGAATAGATAAGATAGAAGTAGAGAGCATGTTTCCACTGGCAGGTGAAGCTAGGACAAGAGGCCATAGCCTCAAGATTAGAGGGAGCAGATTTAGGACTGAATTGAGAAGGAACTTCTTCACCCAGAGGGTTGTTAATCTATGGAATTCCTTGCCCAGTGAAGTAGTTGGCGCTACTTCAGTAAACGTTTTTAAAGCTAAGGTAGATTTTTTTTGAACAATAAAGGAATTAAGGGATACGGTGAGAACGCGGGTAAGTGGATGTGAGTCCACGAAAAGATCAGCCATGATATTATTGAAAGGCGGAGCAGGCTCGAAGGGCCGGACGGCCTACTCCTGCTCCTAGTTCTGATTATGTGGACCCTTCGGTCCAACTCATCCGTGCCGTTCTTCAAAGAGCTCCAATAAATTAATTAAACATCATATCCCTTTGATAAAACTATGTTGGCTCTGACTGATTAACTTAAACTTATTCAAGTGCCCTGTTATAATATCTTTAATAAATACTTTTAACATTTTCCCTATGACATATGTTAAGTTAACTGGCCTGCAGTTTCCTGGTTTCTCCCTTTTTGAATAAAAGAATTACATTTGACATTTTCCAATCTAAAAGAACCTTCCCCTAATGTAATGAGTTTGAAAAATTCAAACCAATGCACTTCACTGGCTTTTTCTTTTAAGAACGTAAAATGACTGGAGACTTGTCAGCTTGCAGTTCTAACAATTTACTTCATACTACTCCCTTGGTGATTATAATTTTCTTGAGTTCCTTGCTCCCTTTCAAGTCCAAATTTACAGTTATTGCCAAGTTGCCACTTATATCCTCTTTAGTGAGGGCTGACACAAAAGATCTGTTCAGTTCATCTCTTTATCCTCATTTATTAATTTCCCAGACTGATCTTCTGCAGGACCAACTCTTATTGGATTGACCCTTTTCTTTTTTCAATTACCTGAGGAAACTTTTCCCATCTAGAATCATAGAATCCCTAAAATATGGAAGCAGCCTCTTTGGTCCAGCCAGTCCACACCAACACTCCAAGAGCATCCCACCCAGACCTATCCCCTACTTTATCCCTGCAACTCTGCATTTTCCATGGCCAATCCACCTAGCCTGTATATCCCTGGACACAATGGGCAAATCTTTGGACTGTGGGAAGAAACCAGAGCACATGCACGAAAAAAACCCGCACAGACACAGTGAGAATTTGCAAACTCCACAGAGACAGTCGCCCGAGGGTGGAATCAAGCCAGGGTCCCTGGCACTATGAGGCAATAGTGCTAACCACTGAGCTACCATGCAGCCCCTTTGTTTTTATATTTTTGGCTAACTTTAATAATTCAGACATTATTACTTTTGATGCTCTGCTTCTCAATTTGGTGCCTTGTTTTTCTCACTGGCTATGCAGAACCTTCTTCCTAGCTGTACCTGTGTCATTGGTACCTATACAGAGGAAAATAAGCACATGACAAGCAGAGAAAAGCTTTCTAACCTAAATACTAATCTCTCGCTTTTGGGATCTTGAATTATAACAGGACGATGCAATTAATTTGAACAATTATTTTAAAGAAAACAAGGTAAATCTGGAAATGTAGACTTTGTTACATACCAGGCTTTTGGTACCATCCAAAGGGATAAGTTGGTGTTACCACGTCAGCTGACTCACAGTCTAAGACATGCCAATTCCGAATTTCCTCACTGCAGGACAGTACTCCAAGACTGCTGAGTGTCACACATGTCATCTCCAAATCTATCAAATGCATTTTATAATGAATGTTAATATTACTGGATAGATTTTTGCTTCTCCCACACTCATGTTATCGATAAAGCATTGCTCAGGCTTACCCAATTTGGGCATTCTTCATGTCTGGTCTTGAACACTGAGCTTTGACTGACGTTTCACCATACGGTAAATAACAGTCAAGCTTCATCCGGTCTTCATTCAACATACACACACAGACACACACACACACACACACTTACATCTACGCATGCACAAACACACACACACACACACACACGCACGCGCGGTTCCATCTGACTTCACTGGGTAGCAACCAGGAGCAGGGTCACTAACTTAATTTTGCCACTCTTCATCACAGCTAATCACTCACCACCTTAGTTCCAAACTTAGTTAAGCATGAACAAGTTAAGCATGAACCATGAACAATTCCTGGGCCTTTTCAAGTCATTCTTAATATGAACCATACAGTCCAAAGTTGTGCAGGATAGATGGATTGGCCGTGGTAAATTGTCCATGGTGTCCAGGGAATGTGTAGGCTAGGTAAATGTGGGGTTACAGGGTGGGTCTGGGTGGGATGCTCTTCGAAGGGTTGCTGAGGACTACACTGTAGCGATTCTGTGACTTCTATAACTGGGTGATAGGAGGCTCTCGGTTCAATCTTCTGAGACAAGTGTCTCATCTGACTAGTTATAAATAAGATCAACCAGCAAAAGTGGTTTAAATTACAAGCAGTTATAATGGTTCAGCAAGCAATTAGGAACGCAAATGGTACATTGGCCTTCATTGCACGACGGTTTGAGTACATGTTCAAGGAAGTCTTACTACAATGAAAAGAGAAAGGCTGGAGCTCTTTGGAATAGTGGTAGCATCCCTATCTCTAAACTAGGAGGCCTAGATTCAAGTCCTACCTGCTCCAGAGTATATAATAACATCTCTTAACAGGTTGGTTAGAAAATTCAAACTATCAAAGAGAAGGTGCTTGAGAAACTCAGCAGGTCTGGCAGCAACTATGGAGAGAGAAACAGAGTTGACATTTCAAGTCTGATATTGTGGAGCAAGGAACTCTTACTACAGCTGTACAGGGCCATGGTGAGACACAACTGGAGAATTGTGTACAGTTTTGGGTCTTCTTTACTTAAAAATATATACTTCACTTAAAGAGAGATTAGCAAAGAGCTATCAGACTCATTCTGGGGTTGGCAGGTTTGCCACATGAAGAGAGATTGAGTTGTCTATTCAATTGGAGTTGAGAAGAATGAGAGGACACCTTAGTGAGATGGATAATATGGTGACAGGTCTGGACAGACGAGCTGCGGGGACATGTTTCCATGGTACAGATGTCATGAATAAAGGGGTCATGTGCTCAGGCTTCAGGGTAGGCCATTTCAGACTGAGATGAGGAGAAAAGCTTTCACTCAGAGGATGGTGAACCTGTGGATTCTATGTCACAGAAAGCCAAGTCACTAAATATATTTTAAAAAGAAATAGATTCCTGAAGGCTAAAGGTGTCAAGGAATATAATGGAGACAGCAGGTCTATGATGTGGAGATGGAGGATCAGCCATGGTCATGTTGAATGGTGGAGTATGTTGATGGGTCAAATAGCCTACTTCTGCTTCTATTTTCTATGTTTCTAAGTACAAGGTTAAACTGAATGTTAAAACCCATGCTATCCATATTGTCCATAGTTGCATGGGCTAAGAAGGTTGTGTGCTTTGTAGTGGTACCTGCAGCGGTTTGGTGAAGATTAGCCTATTTAACACAATAGGAGTTTAACCTGTGAACGCATTTATATCAGTGAGTCTTTGGAAGGCTTGAAATACTCAGGACCTTCACCTAATCTCCTAGCGCAACTTTTCTGAAAGACCTACGGGAACCTCAAAAGTAAATGACTGTCAGTAGTATTTCTCCAAGTCTTCCACTGATTCTCCACTAACGTTATGGTGCAGGTCAGCAGAAACACCTCTCCCATAGGAATTTGAACCCTCACAGCATAGATGCAAATAATAACCACTGAAATGAAATTTGTTCTGCTCAGATAATCAATTGAGACATATATCACTAAGTTATTGAATCAAACTGCCTTATTTTTCCTCAAGGTGCTTTCCTATATCAGTATAGAATTGAAAAAAAATCAACTATGGCATACTTGGGTAGTTACAAAGTTCAAAAAATATCTCAACATGCTTTACCTATATTATTTTTTTCTTTGTACTCTTTGAATTTAGTATTCGAGTCCATTTTCATTGCCTTCCTGCTCTTTGTATTAATCAGTTCAATATAATCAGCTTTGTTACCTCACTACTGTTCCTATGGCAGTTTAGTTCCAATTATCTTCAGTGCCATTCTGAATATAAATTGGACAGACCATGATCTCCTGGCCTTTACAAGTCGCTGGAATCAGAGCACATCTATTATATTTTCATGACTCTTTCTTTCAGTACTTGGGCAGGTACAGGGAATTTTTGACCCCTTATCTTCTTGTCAAACCATGCAAAAAGAATTTAACTACTGGATTTACGAGTTTTCCTTCTGTGGGGACATTCTGCTACATTTTTCATTTATTTATTGATAGTAAGTACCTGGAAGTCGTGGGTCTTTCAGAAATCCAAATCCTTTGCAACAGGAATCTTCATCGCATAAACGTTCACATTCAAAGAACCTTGGAGTACAAACATGTGGTGAGTCAGTTCAGCACAACTCCCTAGAAGTCACACTATTCCAGATTTCTGCCAAGAGTCACAATCTGAACAATGCTTTTCTAAGCCTACATCTCATGAGAGACGTACATCTGCCCGTAATTCCCACATGGAAGCTCCTAGTTTAGCACAGCAATGTGATCGTAAATCATTCACCATTCAATAAAGTCATGGTTAATCTGATGGGTATCTTAACTCCAATTTTCTGCTTTACCACAATCACGTCCTACCTCTCCTCACACCCATGACCCTTGATGCTCTTGTACAGCAAAATATGTCTGATCCAGCCTTAAGTGTATTCAATGGCCCAATCTCTCCTGCTTTCTGGTTAAGTCTCTGAGAGAAGAAATTCCTCCCCCATCTGTGCTTTAAGTGGGAGATCCATTTTTTCAAATGGTGCCCTCTAGTTCTAGATTCTACCACAAGGGGAAATGTCCTCTCAGCGTCGACAATGTCAAGTTCCCTTGAAATCTTAAATGCTTCAATAAGATTGCCTTTCATTCTACTAAATATCAATGAGTATGGGTCCAACCTGTACTTGCTTTCCTCTTAAGACAAACATCCCATGAATCAGACTAGTGAACCTCTCTGAACCACTTCCAATGAAGTCGTATCCTTCTTAAGGGGATGCAAACCACACACTCTTGGTGTTGTCTCACCCATGCCTTGTACAGTTATAGCACAATCTCCCTACTTTATACTCCATCGCCTTGTAATAAAGTCCAACATTCAACTTGCCTACCTAATAGCTTGCTGTATCCGCCTACTAACCTTCTGCGATTAACGCATAAGGACATCTAAATCCCTCTTCATTGCAGCACTTTCTCTCCACTAAAATAATAGCCTTTTAAAAACTTTCTACCTCATAATTTCCCATATTATGCTTTTATCTACCACGCGTTTTCCTACACTTGTAACAGATCCATATTCTTTGCAGATCCTTTGGACCCTCTTCACAACTTGTTTTCCCATGTATCTTTGTATCATCACAAAATTTGGCTTCAGTACAATCAGTTCATTTATCCAAGTCATTGATATAGATCATAAATGGTATAGGAAATGTGAATACTTTTATATTTTATACAAGCTCCTGGTGAGTAAAGGATTAATTTTAGACATGTAAAGAAATTTTGCCCACTTGGCTTGAATCAAAGTGGAATCACACTATAATGAGAATTAATGAAGTGAAATGATAATGTGGATCGGAAAACAGAAGCAGAGGATAGATGTCCGAACTTGCAATCAAAGGTTATTTTTGAATTGTATAGGATTTTGGGGCCAGAATTAAATGAACTAGGGGTCATTGATTCAGCAAATGGTCATGCTGGAAAAAGTAATAATGGGTGTTCATATGTTAAAGATACAGGTTGTGACCACGATTGATAAGTTAATAAAATGACAAATGAAACAACAAAATCAAAGCACGCGAGCAACATCAGAATACAAGAAGAAGCCCTTGTTTCGGAGAATAAAAACCACAGTTTTTAAAGAAGTAGTCACTTTTTCAAATCAAGGAATACAAAATGATAAAAAGTACTCGTATTATCTGGTTGGGGAAATCCAGAATAGGCATAATCTTATACTTGGAATCAAACCATTTCAAAGTAAATTTAGGAAACGTCTTTTCACACAAAAGGGTAACATAAATAAAGAGCATTTTTCACTGAATAGGCAATAAATGCTCAGATAGCTGGAGTATAGAATAGTGAGCTTGCTAAACTTCTATTAGGTATATTTGTCAAGAATGAATTCAGATAAAGATGGTTGAGCAAATACAATTCAGAGGGTTGTGAATCTGTGGAATTCTTTGTTGCTGAGGCTGGTCATTAATTAAATACAAGGCTGAGGTAAAGATATTTTTAATCATTAAGGCAATCAAGGATTGATTGAAGGATTGGGGAAAAGGCAGTAAAGTGGAATTGAGGATTATCAGATTAACCATGATCTCATTAAATGGTGAAGCTGATTCACTGGGCTGAATGGTCTACTTCTGCTACTATGTTTTATAATTTTATGGTCTAATGAGAAAAGCAAATGAATTGGGTGAATTCTAATGTCGAGCTGGGAGCTTCATTATAAAAGACTCCTCAAAGAATGAATGCTCACCCAGTTTGGATCCCTCTTGCAGTCATATTCAGTCTGTTTCTTACTGAGATACCTTGCACCTCACGAAATGGCAAGCGGGTATAGAAATTTTTAACACGTCCTCCTAGCATATCTGCAGGAAAGAAAGTATACACAGAATCTCAGAGCTGATATAGTGCAAAAGCAGGCATTTAAACTTATTATACCTGCATCAGCTCTGATATTTAGTTTGTTATTCAAATTGACTGTTGACTTTCTGGCTCATTTCTCCTTCTGGAATAACACATTCCCTTCAATGTCTCAGGGATCCATTCGCCATCAATTGACCAGCCTGAATACAGTTATCTTCACAATGCTGCAACGAACTTATTGAACATCATCAACGTGGTCCTGAAAAGCCAACTGTTTTATATTCTAGTAAACACACAAGATGAAGTATGCTACAGCCAGGACAATAGAGATTAAGAATGTCACACATCTTGCAAATTTTTCAGTGGAAGTTGATTGGCCTTGACAACATAAGAGGTGGGATTTCATATCATTACACCCAGGCACAAATCACTTTAAAGTAATCAAGTGTTACTTGTAGTTTGGAAGTAATTATCCTGCCTCAGGGTGAGACGGTGGGTTCAAGATCTACTTCAGACTCTCAGCACACCCGTGATCTACACTGCACTACACTGTAGTACAGAGGCAGCATTACGTAGGAGTAGGAGTAGTCCTTTCAGCCCTTTGAGTCTGCTCTGTCATTGAATATGATCATGGGTGATCATCAGTCTCAATGCCACATTCTATTTTGTGCTCATTCCTTTAGATGCCTTTTAAATCTAAAAACGTACCTATCTTTTTCTTAAATATATTCAGTGACATGTCCACTACAGACTTCTGTTGGAGAGAAATCCACCTTTTTGAATGAAGAGATTTTTCCTCATCTCATTTTGTCTACCCTATATCTTGAGTTTCTAGACTCCCCAACTAGGGGAAACATCCTCCCCATCAAGGCCTGCTAGAATTGTACATATTTCAATTAGATTCTTTCAATACTTCTGAACTCTAGTGAATATAGGACTAGTGGAACCAATCTGTCCTTATGCACAGTTTTGCCATCCCCAGTAACAGCATAGTGAAACTCCGCTGCACTCCCCTATAGCAAGTGTATCCTTTCTTAGGCCGGGAGACCAAAATTGCACAAAATACTCCAGGTGTGGTCTTACCAAGGCCTTGTATGAATGCAGTAAGACATCCTTACTTCTGAACTCAAATTTTCTTGCAATGAAGACCAATATACCATTTGTCCTTCTATATGTTTGTTACACCTGATCCCTTTGTATATCCACACTTCCCAATATATTTTTATTTAAATAATACTGTTCCTTTCTGTTTTTCAAGTATATGACTTCACATTTAATGACCTTGTACTGCATCTGCCTTGTGCTTTCCCGCTCATGCAACTTGTCTAAATCACTTGGAAGCCTCCTTGCATCCTCCTCACAACTCTCAATCCCGCCTATGTCTGTGTCAACAACAAACTTGATTCCCACATCCAGGTCATTTATCTATATCCTGAAAAAAATGGCACTCATTTATGGTGCCCCAGCAGTCACTGCTTGCCACTTGAAAAATCGATCCATTTATTGTCACTCTCAGTCTGTGGACCAATTCTCAATCCATACCATTACCCCACTATCCCACTATCCCACAATCCCACAATCCCACAATCCCACAATCCCACATGTTTTAATTTTGCCCACCAACCTCATATGAGGAACTTTATCAAAAGCCTTCTGAAAATCCAATTAGACTACATCCACTGGTTCTCCATCGTTTACTCTACAAGTTACATCCTCAAAAAGCTCCAATGGATTTGTTAAGCATGATCTGCTGTTCATAAAACCATGCTCGTTTTCCCATTCCCATTAATGATTTTCAAATGATAGTAGGAACTGCAGATGCTGGAGAATCTGAGATAACAAGGTGTAGAGCTGGATGA